GAGGCAATGGAGGTAGCTGTAGAAGCAACGGTAATAGCGATGGGAGTAGCAGTACGACGACCAGAAGCAGTATATATTAGGATAAAAAGCATCGTTAAGGCCAGCATCAGTCTTTCTTCAACGAGAAAGGGGTATGGATCTGGGGTATAGATCAAGGGTATGGATCAAAGTATGGATCGGGGGGTATGGATCGTGTGTAGCTTTGGCGCCTTGATCCATACCTTGTATTTTGACTCGTACCCATATAGTTTTCTTGTAGGTTCCGGAAGTGACGTATGTGTCAATTCCCCCTCTTTCCCAGGGGTCGGCGGCAGGGGGCGTAACCCCTTAATATCCATACATTGCTTCTGCTTCTATTTGTATTTTTCGATTTTTTGCGACCACTCTAATTTTCAAACAAGCATTCGTTCCGCTTTTCTCAACCCCTAGGGTTGGTTTCTACTTGACCAAGATGGTCAGCTGGCTAACTAATGGGTAAAACGTAACCATCAAGCAGGATTCAATCACTAATGCCAAACATATCCATCACAGCTGGCAATAGAAAACAATGCGCAACTTCAAACTCGTCTCCGGTAGTCAGCAGTGTTTTCACGTAATGTGGTTTTGGTGATTTTATATAAATTGGTGTATATATATATATATTTGTAATTATATATTCTCATAATAGTTTGTGTTATTTGGTTGTTTTGGTTTACCATACCCTAAATGTATTATATGGCACTGCTCAAGCTTTGGTAGCATAATAAATGCTTACTTGTTAGAACCGCATTTTTTTCACATCTTCTTCCGGTGGATAATTTTCTTCACTTGCGCCAAAACTCTTTTCAACCCCAGGAGTCCGTAAGCTGACCTGCAGAAATCCGTACAAAATCCGTCAGCCAGAAAGCACAAATCCGTAAGGAATCCGTATTGTTTACAGATTTGCACCGGATTTGGGGGAGCAGGCTTGCGGATTGTTTATGGATTTGGGCCGGATTTGGGGGAGAAGGCTTATGGATCGTTTACGGATTTTTACTGAATGTGGAGGACGAAGCTTGCGGAATGTTTCCGGATTTTTACCGGATGTAAAGGACGAAGCTTACGAATTGTTTGCGCATTTTTACCGGATGTGGTGGACGAGGCTTACGGATTGTTTACGGATTTTTACCGGATATGGGGGACGAAGCTTACGGATTGTTTACAGATGTTTACAGATTTGCACCGGATTTGGGGGAGCAGGCTTGCGGATTGTTTTTGGATTTGGGCCGGATTTGGAAGAGAAGGCTTATGGATTGCTTACGGATTTTTACTGAATGTGGAGGACGAAGCTTACGGAATGTTTCCGGATTTTTACCGCATGTGGAGGACGAGGCTTACGGATTGCTTACAGATTTTTACCGGATTTGGGGGAGGAGGCTTGCCGATTGTTTATGGATTTGGACCGGATTTGGGGGAGAAGGCTTACGGATTTGGGGGAGTCTGGGTGCTGGAACCTTGAAGCAACAGCCAGCTTCAGCTTGTGCTCAAGTCCATTGGCATACATACAGCTCGGACATACAGCTTCCTATTTCCATTACAAAATCGATGTAAAGGCATTCATTGCTTGTTGTCGTTGGATCCAAGTAATGAGCTGACTTGGGCAACACTGGGCTGAGATGGCTACATTGATGATCTAATTGTACAAGTTTTTTTTCATATCTCATTGATTGTGCTTTGATCTGGATCTGCTCTCAACTGCGGTCTCAAATTGCTGCAGAATAGTGCTGAGACCACAGAAGCCAATATGCTGATTGTCTGATGATTTGAATGAATGATCAACCAATGTTTGATGTCATTAGTGGCATGTTTGGTTTGATTAGTGGCATGTTTGGTTTGATTAGTGGCATGTTTGGTTTGAACAGGTCTTCAATTGAACCAGGTATTCGCTACTCGTGCTACCCTCTTGTCGTGGTTTTTAATATCTTGTCATGGTATAGATTCCACTGTCGTGGTATGACCAAACACCTTAATATATATTCCAAGAATTTCAATATTATATTTTTTTACAGCTTATTTGGACGGATGATTAACAAGTAGCGAAGCCAACCTCGACCAATGTTTGACACTGATAAATTGTAGTACTGCTGTTATGTCGGTTCCATCTGGTGTGATCTATTTGCTTTTCATCTGGCTGTGATATGTTCTATAGTTGAGGCCAAGACCAGGTAACTCAGCCAAGTAGGCCTGCAGCCAATGAGGGTTTTCCAATATTTCCAGACTTTCAATGTGACTTAAATTCGATTGAGCTCCAAATCTTCTAGTGGTAAGAAGCATCTTCAACGTTCGTGGCTGCCTGCTGCATGGCCCAATTCGATCGCTGTTTGCAACCGATTGGAAAAAGTCCAACCTGGAAGCGCCGTTGCCGAGGGCCCCGAGGGCAGCATGGCGTTCGATGTGGAGCCATGGTGAAAAAAGGACCCAGCATGGCACATGTCAGAGGTATGTTTGTGGGCTGGGTAGCATCCCACTGTGCAACAAAAATGAGATGGGCCACCACTGATATGTGTAAAATGTGTATGTATGTGTATATATATATTATAGTATTGGATAGGAGCATAGCCTTATGTAAGAACATCATTATGTTATTTCTAAGTAATATAGTCATCTATAATATATAGATATTATAGATAATTATACTACATATATATATATATATTATATCATATCATATTATATTATATTATATTATATTATGTTATGTTATGTTATATTATATCATATTATATTATGTATATATATATATATCATACAGTACATATCATACGCATTGACATGTCATGTATTCAAGGAACATCAGTCATCCTCCGAGGATGGACGCCTCTGCAGGGCCAGGAGCCCAAAGCAACGGCCAGCGACTTGGCAAACCTGTCACGGTGCTAGTCAGGGGACATAGCTGCCATAGCTACAAAGCCATTGATCAAATGTTATACACAGTATTATATATACATATCCTATACATATATATATATACTCTATATATATATAATTATATATATATATTAATTATATATATATATATACGTAGACATACAAGTGTACTTACTAATTAGATCTAATTAGTATGTTGTAAACCACCCAACATGGTTTTGTTTGGTTAAAAGCATTGTGATATACTGACATAATCTTATATACTTGATAGAATTGTGGGTCGTGAATGGGTGGTATGCCAATATGCCTCGATTCTATGGCCGTTTCAATAGGGAAAATGATGATCGAATGGATACACATGGCTTACCTGAGCACAAAGAAGAAAGACCGTTGCCACGAGTAGAAAAGTAAAACATACAGTACAGACGATTGTCCTGATACCCTATTATATTGCAAGTATCCTTGGCCAAGAGTGGCCAAGCCTGTAATTATTCTCACATCATGATGCAATGAATGACCGCAGCCTATTTCAGTGAGAGTGCTTCTCCAAATCTTGACTTCTGCTGTGACCGTGGCTAGGAAACAAAAAAAAAAGTAGTAACGCATGGCAAAGCTCTCTGCCCATGTCCAAAACATGGTGACATGTAATATCCTATTCTAGATGTTTCTATCATGCGGTGTTGAAAGGTCTTGAGGGTAGGCTGGGTCAACTGCTGCCTTCCATTGCCACCTTTAGTTCTTGTCGCATCTGCCTGGGCGGACATGGCAAAGACACTCTGCAGCAAACGCCAAGTTGTGAGTTGCTTCTACTGGAGGGTTGATATCATAATAGGGATTGGCATAGGGACACCGTTACACAGTTCATCAACAATTCAACAGGGTCGACAAGATTCTTGATGGTGTGAGCCCCTCTGACTAATAAAGCTCTGTGATGAATGCATTTTGATGAAATATGATGAAATCATGTTCAATAATATGGGTTCTTAAACTGCTGGTGCCCCAAAATGGATGGTTTACAATGGAAAACCCTATGCAAATTGCTAATTTGGGGGCACCCCTATTCTTGGACCCCCCCCCTCCATAGATGAATCAGCGGAAGCACATGAAGCAGGATTGGCTCGATCCATTTGGGCGGCTCCAGGGGGTTGAGAACGCAAGCTTCTGAAATCCTTTTCCCAGTCAAAAATGGAAGTGGATAGGATTCCCAAAAAAACAAAAAAAAAAATACGGGTCTGAGATGTGCTGCACTGATTGTACCTTGACATCAGTCCAAGAGGTATGGACTAGATTCCCCTGGAAATTATTTTAGATTATTTTGGGATGTTTTGGGTTCCCTTAAAATGTAGTCCGCTTGAAGCCTGGTAGTCAGTCACTAGAACACTGTGACCCAAATCCATCCAAATCCCGCCAACTCCTTTCCAAGCAGCCTCTCGTAGTCTGCCTGCATGAACAGCAACTCAGGGGGTTGTCGGTGTCAAGTACTGAGCTACTCTCTCAGATGATCGTCAAGTTTGCGGACCAAATACCATCGCACAACTCCCATCAACTGCCCTTATTCCCCTTGAAACTTGGGTCCGGGTGGCCCCATGGCAAGCCCACCAGAGGTGTGCCAAGGCACCGGAGCCATGCTGCAACGACCCCGTGCTGCAAGCACCAGGATCTGAGAGTGAGAGGATTGCCATGGATCATCTTGGCACATAAATTGATGAACCCTGAGAGACTTAAGTGAGCAGGAAAATGCAGTTCATGAAGATGGCAGTCAAACAATAAAAAAAAGCTCGGCAACTGCTTATTATACGAGTATATATGTATATCATCCGACTGAAACATTGGAAATTCCCTCGCTTGACTATGCTTGACTGCACTGCTGGAAATGCTCCATCAACGAATCCTCCATGCCTTGACACTGCAGGTTTTGAACCTGCACCACAAACAAACATGAGGCCGAGACGACGCCATGTCCACCACGTCCTGCTGCCTTCCAGGCCTTTAGGCAGCTGGCAACCAGAAAGAGAGTCTACCATAGTCTACCTAAATAAGCGAAGCTTGCTCGCTTTTGCATTAGTTAGGCCAAAAGTGGTATGATTTGTCTGTGTTTGAAACGCTCGTGCACCTTTTCTACACTTAAACCAAACAGCAGCTCGGTACGTTGAAAAAAGACTCTTGTCTTGGTCACAGGGCCATTGGCCGCTGGCCACCACAGCTAATTGTGAAACTATCTGAGACTTAAGACATGTTTGAATGCATTGAATCGATTGAACATTGTGATGTGGTGGTGTGGAAGTGCCGACAAAAATGATTCCAGTCTTCTCCATTGTGCCATGATCTGTATGGCAAAGCGCGAGGGAACACTTCGTCATAGTCCACTATCACCATCTATTTATCCATTCCTTTGGGCTTCAGCATGTTTCAGCTGCACTAAGGTCACCAAACCACTCTCTCAACGTCAACATCGTCAGCTATGTCAACTGATGCTTTGCACGAAGAATGCGGTCATGGCGTCCACGTCGCGTCGTTGCATCTCCTGTTGCAGGGCTTCATCCCCTCGGTGTTGCTGCAAGGCGCGGAGCTCCTGGAGCTCTCGGACAGCCTGCTGGAAGTTCTTGCGATAGGGACCCACTGCCTCGGTCCCATCAGATAAACGAAGCGTGGCACAAAGGCTGTCGTCAGCTGATTGAAAGCTGCTCAGTTGCAAACCTTCTGGGAGTTCCGGAACACCCCAAGATTTCAACAGTTTCTGTCTGCGAATCTTTTGAAAACGTGCCTGCAGAGCCAACACCATGGCTTGCAAGCGGCCGTGTTTGATTCTTGCAAAAGCCAGCCGCTTGCCATGGAGCTCCTCGTGTCGTTTCTGCCGGGCCTCTAATCTCGCTTGTTGTTGTTCCTGTCGTCTCTGCCTTGCCATCAATTTCCACTCTCTTTGTTGAAGCTTCTGTCTCGCCCGTTCCAGCTTTTCGGCCCTCTGGTCTTCACGTTCCGCTTGCTTCTCCGCCTGCTTTCTAGCTTTTTCCTGCTCGCGCAGGGCCTTGATCGAAAGCCCACTCAAAGGCTCTTGCTGGCCTGTTATCCTCCTCCAGTCTTGGATAGCAGTGTCCAAATCATGAGTTGTCAAGGTGTATTCCTTCCTGAATGCAGAGCGGAAACTTAAACGCATCTCCTCTGCACCTGCAGCGGCGCGCTCTTTTCGGACGGCCTCCATAGCATCTAGCGCCACTTGCCTGAAGTCCTTGCCCTCTTCCAAACCAACTTCTACATGTTGGCGGATCTGCACCAAGCTGATGTGCATGTCAATGGCCGCACCCAAATCTTTCACAGTCTGCGTCATGATCATGAGATTGGTGCATAAGCAAATATGCGTCTGGTAATTATTGTTCCGTTTGTTGCAAGAAATACCTTTCACCAAGGGTTTCGCGGCACGAGCAGGACGATTGGCGTCGGTTTTTACGAGTGTCTTACGCTTGGGGGCTTTGGGCGTCTTGTTAGTGAATCTTTTCTTGGACACTGCCCGAACAGCTGAGAGTTTTCGAGTCTTCGGGAGATCTTGGAGGGCAAGTATGCGAGGTTTGCACCGGCGTGACTCACACAGCTTTGACAGAATCTCGTCAGCTTCCTGTGATGCCAAGAACTGTGCGAAGGCATTCAAGTCCCCCTCGGACAGTTTCTCCAACTCTTCCAATGCCTGTTTCTTTAGCAAACGAAGCAGTCGGCGGTAAAGTTCTTGGTGATCCATTGGATTGCAGCCCATGTTTGTATTCATCTCAGTGTTTTGCGGTGGTTGTGACTTGTGTTGCTTTGGTGATTCCTTAGGGGCTCTGGCATCTTTGGCCGGGGCCCTCTTGGGCTTGTCTTTGGCCACGGCCGGCTTGGCTGTACTGGTGCTGGATTCAGCCTTTCGCTTGTTTCGGGGAGGCGCCTTTTTCCCAGGTGCAGTGGAAGAAGACTTGCTGCGGCAGCGCAGCTGGTCATAGGTAGCTCGTCTACTAGCATCCACCAAGATTTCAAAGGCATGGACCACCGAACGAAAAGCTTCAGCAGATCCACCCTTATCTGGATGAGTGGACAACGCACAACGCCGGTATGCTGATCTGATCTCATTGTCTGTAGCAGTGGGCAGCAAATCCAAAGTCTTATACAAACATTGCATGGCCCCACTAGGACTTCAGGCACAAAAGATCACCCTTTCGCTACGGTCGTCTCAGTCTGAATGCCAAATAAATTCGTTGAATTTCACAAGGGGATGACCGTATGCAGCACAAATGGATTCCAGGGTCTGAAGCCAAAGTCAACATTCCAGAATGAGAGGTTTTTAGGTCTTGCTTCAAGCTTCAAATCCCCCCAAATCAAGCGATTCACACAAAGTACTGCACCAAGTAAAGAAAGAAAGAAAACCAATCTCCTGGTGGATCTGGTGGCTCTGAAATCAAACTTTCCACCAGGACCAGACCCGGGCCTCGGCCACCTTGGTTTTCAAGGCCGCCTCACCTGATAGGCGCATCATCTTGAATCTTGGAACCCTCATCACTGGGTCACTGGATGTTAAAGGGATTATCACTGGATCATTCTAAGTCATGTTCCTCAAAAACGCAACAAGTTTTTGACATCTGGAGGCTAGAAACTGGCCGGTTGCATGGGTCAACTTTGCCTTGAAACTGCAAGCACTTTGAGCAGCAACTATATAATTAAACCAGAATGATTCAATGATGATGTAATCCCTTATAATTTCATAGATTGCTATAAGCCAGGTTTCTGTTTCAGAAGTTGAACTGGTGGAAATGACACCATTGTTTATCAAATAAGACACCATCATGATTGAATTATGATTGAATTTAATGATTGTTTCACCATTAATAATCATTATACTGATTCATCATGATTTATGATGTCACCATGAATAAACCATGATATTTTGGGAAACCCATGGGGTTTTCCTATGTAAAAATCATCTTGGACAGCGTGGAAGGCACGGGTCATCCCCGCCTGTCATGTCTGTTCCAGGAAAGTGCACAGTTCCTGGGCCGCGCACTTGCCAACAGTGACCGTGTCAAGTTCATTTTTTAAAAAAAATATCGTGTATATATATATATACTGTATATATTATAAATACAATTACATATGCACATATACATATACATATATACGTATATACATGTACGTATATAATTGTATATATGTATATGATGTACAATCAGAAATGTACTATACTATACGTATCATTATGTGTATACAATTTTAATTAATATATTGTATGATTATCATTGAGTGTGTATACGTGCACAGCCCGCTTCCATCTCTCACTGGGCTGCCCCAGCGCACTTGAGGCCATTCAGCAGCTCCCTATCACGCGTGTCAATCGATACACGTTTGGTTGCAGGTTTGTTATTTCAACCTGCCAATCAGTGGAGGATGCATTTTGGATTGCTTCAACTGACTCAAATTGAGGGCAAGGATTAGCAAATGGCCAAAACTGACAAAAGATCCCATGTCGTCATGGTCCATGGTTTTATCATGATTTTGTTTGTTCTTCCCTCAACTTGACACATCCATATGGTGTGCACAGCTCTGCCTTCGAGTTCTTGGGGCAAACAACCACCATCTCTGGATGGACAAACCTCAGCCGCTTGAGGCTATGGGGCTATGGCGTCTATGGGGCCTGCAGCTAAGGCTGAAACGCATCAGCCAGGCTACTGCAGAATTCCTGCTTGGTGACCTGGCCGTGGCCAAGACAAGCAAATCCAACATTTTCACTTCCTGCACAACGTAGACTCATTTATCATTAAGAACCATATAGATCCATATAGAACCATAAATCATCATAAAATGAAGAAACGGTTTACTTCCTTTTCTTCCAACCATCGAAAATCATGGTGATGATCCAAAGCTCAACGACTCGACCACTCGGCCTTGGGGATACCAACAGGTAGGAGAGCTTCGGCAGTCGCTGCCTGGCGGTGACCCTGCGGTGACCATGGTGTCCAGTCAATGGAAGTCATCTGCTCGTTCTCCAAAAAAGGGCCATCAGGCCATCATCATATGGGGATGGGTCAAAACCCTATCCCCCTGGTGAACATCAAAATAGCTGGTAAATGGATGTTCATCCCCCTAAAAATGGTATGTATAGGTATTGATCCATAGCCATATCTTCTTTTCGTTCTTGTTTTATTATCTTCTCGTCTCCTCCCTCTTGATCCTCTTGCTTTCTTTCGGGCCATACTGTCATCTAGTTCGTTGATCTTGAAATATATAATATCATATATAATACTATGATATACTATGTGTATATATATATATTCTAGACCGGGTGCAGTTGGTGCTGGCGAAAATTAGCTTGTCACAGCAAAATATGGCCGCTGAAAAAATAACACTATGCAAATATATCCGCGACTTTGGCTTTAGAGCAAGCCGCTAGGACATTTGAAGCTACCTCAAACCATGCCTGCTGGTGATGTCATTGTGCAAAAAAGAAGAAATTGCTAGTGGTAGGCCATGCTTCGTAATGCACGATGACATCTGTACATATTCATAGTTTTTGATACGTATTCAGGCTGTGCCATCAAGGGCTGCAAGGGCTTGGTCCATTGGTTGGATGGCCACAAGCCATCAAGCTTAGGAAGGTCTCAACCCTTTGGTTTTGAACAGAAATGGTCTCAAAACCTGTTGGAAATCACACAATGATCACAGTGTCCCAGTGTCACACCATCATAAAATCATGCACTACCAGTACCTACATGTACCATCATGCACCTACCTGATCTACCACGGTCTACTTTCTCACTCCCGTGTGCAAAGATCCTTGCTCACTGCCCTCAAGAAGCAGTGCTCACAGCCCCGGCCGATCCCGGCCGTATCTCCAGGGAAACCAAGGTTTTGAAGCCCTTCAACCACACCTCACAACAAGCTGTTGCCAAATTCTTTGCCCAGAAAGCCCCTTTGAGGATCCAGAAACAAAAAAAACACTGCAACAGGTCTTGGGTCAAACTGATTAAACACTATTTAAACATCTTATATCTCAGAGGCGAACTTCTGTAGACAGCTTCTTTGCCACTGAGGACAATGGCCTGCAGAACGCCAAGCAGTTGCCAAGGGTAGCATACTGAGATCATCGCAAACACTGACTTGACGGATCTGTTTGGCATTTGGACGGCATGCGAAACCTATGATTCGGCAGGGAATGACATCATGACCGTTAGACTTTGAAAACCTTGACATGAAGCTTGAAAATCTTGCGAACGACCATAGGAATAGTAGTGGAATGCAATATTGCCAGTCTTTCTCCCCTGTTGAACTCAAACATCCAGCATCCAGCACTGCTGCACCAGTGCCACCTTCCCCCAGCCTCGAACAAGTGTTGAAACGCGCTCTGATGAGAACCTGCCTTTGCAAATCCGCTGGCTCTCGGAGCTGCTGGTGATGGAGCTGATAATGACCCCTGTGATATTGCATACGGACACTAAGTATGATTCATATTGATCAATCAGATAATATAATATACATAGATAGACCATGAGGATTCTTGAACGATCTTGTGATTATTATTGGAAACGCAAACGAGATTTTCAAGGAATCAAACTTGTGATGAGAAAATATGATAAAATAATATAAAATATAAGTCGCCTTGCTGCTGCCAGCAGGGCTGAAACGTCGCACAGCAAAGTCCTTGGCCAGAGCACAAAGCTGGCTACGCCGGGTATGGGTCAAGATTGGATACTAGTGATATTATATAAATTTATATAAAGTATATTGATATCATCTTCTGGTAAACCCATTATTCAACATTAATTATTCAACCATTGCCAATGACTCCCAAGTGCTTTACTATTGGTTTTGCCACATGGTAGGGAAAAATTGAAGAGAGCAATACGAACTATGAGCAAGATCAGTGGCTTCGGGGGGAAGTTGAATCAGTTGAATCCAGGCCTATACCGCCTATACCCAATCAAACCTGCGGTATCATGTGTCTATATAATTGGCATTCATTGTCATCGTTAATTTGTCATTCTGACTTCTACATCCTTGTCAATGTGTGTACAATCTTGCGCATCATCCGTCATCGTCATCGTCATCGTCGACGTCGTCGTCGTCATCGTCCTCCTCATCATCATCATCATCATCATCATCCCAATACAACCATCATGTGCAGATTGGACTGAGGAGACCGCCGCCAAAGGTCGTAAAACACGATTGGATTCGGCCACCTGTCATATGTCAAACAACAAAGTCTTGTCCTGTTAGGGACTTCAGCTGTCCATGTATACAAGATTTAATGATTATATGTAAGCTGGGGCTAGTTCTTGGTCCTTGGCCTTGGTCTTTCAATCGCACAGGCTGAGACTTTCTGGACACCAGAACTCACAACTCACATGAAAGAAGTCTGTTCCTACCATTTTCTACCAGAAGTGCAATAGAGATGCGGATGAAATATGTAAATGCCGCCTATATTCGATATCAGGACCAGGTGGGTTCCAGTTTTGCTGTGCCTTCTTGCCTTCCTCAATGACAAGGCCAGAAGCACTCCTGCAATCGGATTGGCTACTAGTACTCTCAGGCCCATAGGGCCATCCTAAATTTCGTCCAACTTCCGTCCAGGATGCTTCGCAAAAATCGATAAATTGCTGGGTCCTGGGTCCATCAATTTTTTTTTCCAGGAGGGAAGGAAATTAATGGATGACTCATGATGGCTCTAAACCTCTGCGAGAAAAACAAAAAAAAACACTGTCCTGGCACTCAACACCACAGTGGCATCGCTTTGCACCGCTGCAGATCGGATGGCCGAAAAGTCAGCACCTGAGCACCGGCTCAGATGGGAGCTGTCTGGAGCGTGGGAAATAAATCGCTCGTATTTCGCTTGTGACGTTTACTTTGAATATGTAATATGTATGAATATTTGAACCCACCATGACCCACCCAACTTTGGGGCTTTATGGTGGGCCAGTCCTTCAGTGCCCAATTCCTCCTTACTATTCCTTACTTATTTGACAAACTAGTTTTGCAGTTGGATCTGATTGGAAGCAAAGCTTGGGCGACCAAACCGCTGAGAGGCATGTCATCGTTTGGTGCTACGATGTAGACCACAAAGCCAGGACCTATCACACATGAGCACCGGCAACAGGAAAACCACCATGGCTTGTTCTCAAAGGCTGCCTGGTCAAGATGGTCAAGTGGCTATGGATCAATACCTATAAGTACCATTTTTAGTGGGATGAACATCCATTTACCAGCTATTTTGATGTTCACCAGGGGCACAAGGTTTTGACACACTGCCAAGTGGATAAGAGGATGTTTCGCGCATGATCAACTCCCCAAGCCATCCCACGCAATCCCACGCAATCCCACACCTATACGCGCCTTTGGCTCCGGCTCGTTGGGACGAAACCTGAGCTGGGAAACGCTGCCAAATCTTGGGCGCTGAGATCCTTTCATCGCCAAGTTGCTCTTCCATGCCTGTGGGCATTGGAGCCTGAGGTTCCACACACACTGTTCCATTCTACCTACTCAAAAACTGCCATTTCCATCAAAACATGAAACATGAAAGCATGCAAACACTTGCAAATTAACACCGAAAAACTACATGACGAAGTGGCCAAATCATCCAAATCCAATTTCTGTTTTCCCCAATGGCCTCCGGGTTCTCCGGGTCTTCAGCAGTGGTTGTAGCCTGTTTGGAGCTGCCAAGTGGCTATCTGGCTGGTCTTTGCCATGCAGAAAGGCCCACAACCAACATGCATCATCTCGTCACAGTTCAGACATATTCAGACATATTCATCCTACAAGTAAGATACCCTCTGGTAATTTAACATAACTATGGAAAATCACCATTTTTCATGGGAAAAATCACTATAAATGGTGATTTTCAATAGCTATGTTAAATTACCAGAGGGTAAGTAAGCAGTTTGAGCAAATAAATCCTTGGAAACATCCATCTCCCCAGTGCCTGAACCGTCTCCGAAGTGGCCTGACCACTGGGATCCGAAGTCGTCACGTCAACCTGCGGGTTCTGTGACTGTTTGCTTCATGGAGATTTCTCCGCATCATGTCATGAATGATTCATAATGATTCATGAAGATTCATAAATATTCATAAAGATCAAATGATGCCATGCCATGTGTAAAATTAAAATCAATCCTCAACCCTATTTGCAGATATTTGCAGACACTGCCAAGAACCCGTGTTCTTTCAACTTGCTCACGACATAAAACAATAGTTGATTTCAGTATCGGTCATGGGTGCCCGTGTTGCATCAACATATTGAGTTTTTTCTGGGAAAGGGATATTTCTTTTGAAGTGAGGAAATGATTGGACAGTCTTCCGTTGATGTGGAAGTTACATAGTCCGAGCCATAATCTAATGACTGTACTTGGAATGAGATGATTTGCACACAATAGTTTTTGCTTCTCCACGAAGAAAGCCAGCACATGGGACATACCCAGTATCCCATCAATTCAGGGTTTTAGGGACAGCACCCCTCCCGTTGTCCCCAGCTCTACCCTTCCAACAATACACCCTGGGGCCCTCACCGTGGTGGCTTCGGTTTTTCCGGATGGCCCTTCCTGCACGAATCACTGGAGCTGTAGCCGATGTCACCAAGGTTTGCAGTGTCAGTCCGGGCCCCATGTAGAAAATGATAGAAAATGGAGGGAAATGAGGCTCCATGCAGCAGTTCCCTGCAGTTCCCTGCAGTTCCCTGCAGTTCATGCTCTTTCAATCTACATTTATGGATGGACCCGTTTGATGGCACCGGTTCAACGTCAACAGGATGTCATCATCGTCGCCTTCTCAGTGGTTTCTGCAGCTGGCGCCGCCTGACATGATAGTTGATGGGTTGGCCACAAGGTGCTGCGGCACTCTAAAACTGCATCATGTCATCTTGAGCTACTAAATCTATAATCATCTATAATCATCTATAATCTATACCCCAAAGTCCAAAATCTTCCAAAATCGGGCCAAACGATGATTCGACTTGGTTGGACTTCACAAATGTACCAGCTTCACCAACTCCGACCTCAGAAGGCGTGGGAGGTGGGCCATCCGTCTGTGCAACCTCCTGTCATGGCTCAAAAACTGTCTAGAGATTGCAAGGCATTCCACAGGCCAGCAGCTGTTTCAGCGATGCTGTTGCTGACAGGCGTAAGTCGATGGTGCGACGTGTATTATCATAACAACTGCTGGTATCATTTGAATTCAGTGTATTTAAATTGTCTCTGACCATTCATCATCGTCGTCGTCATCGAAACATCCCATTCCACCTTACACCCAGGTCCCAGTGGTCCACCTTGGTACCTTGTGGCCGCTTGAGGTAGTGACCCACCTCGGCTCAGGGTCTATCTTGGTTGGGGGGTTGGTAATGGGGAATCACTAACTAGTGTATTTGAATATCAACGATAAAACGAGATTGAAGCCTTGCCCCAGCGCGCAACCTTTTGGAGTTTTCAAATTACCAACAACAACGAGAGCAAAATATTAGAATGGGTCAAACAAATCGTACATCTTCTCAGAGCCAACTTTGAGTGATGGGTTGTACTAGAAACGGGTCATAACATGTCATAACCATCAAAATCCATCGTCCGACAATAATAAAATACTGGGATAGAATCTACATGTTGAAATGGAATCACCATCCAGTCGCAGCTGCTATGTAGGAAAGATGCTTCAAACTCAGCTGCTAGGAACCCAGCAGACCAGGAAGCGTTGAAACTACTTCCACCGAGTTCCCATTTCTCGCTGAAAAGGACCTCTGTTGGGGCTGCACTGGTGAATAGCATGATCCTTCCGCATGAAGGTTTTTGGTGGTCTGGGTAAGCCATACCAAGATCTGTGCAAAATGTCGCAAGGGTTGTCCCAATGGTGATTTACCCAAAAACAGCCCATCTCAAACGCGACCATCCTTTGGCTGGCTGCCTGTAACGAACTTCCAACCACACCTGTGAGGGAAGGGTAGTGTACCAACAGGCGGAGGGTTGGGTGTCAGAGACTGCTTGCGGACCCTTCAACACACGCACCGTACGATCATGGCAACCCCTGTAGGAACTCAGCTGGAGGGACACCCGACATCCAATCCAAATCATATGGAACCAGAGTTTACAACCCCAAATCCCATGGCTGATCATAATCGCCTCACTAGATCTCATTACAGCATAATTATCTCTCATTTTGAGACAAACCGTGATTACCACAGCCATTCCACATCCATCACCAAATCCAGCCGTTGACAGCCTTCAAGAGCCTCTAGTGCCGCTGCTGTTCGCAGAATCGCAGCCTTGTCAGCTGCCTGAGCCCAGCCACAGCAGCTAATTGGTTTGTTTGTTTGTTTGGAGGGTTGCTTCTGTCTATCAGAACCAACTCTTGATGTTCATGAAGTTACGATAAAAAATTGACCTACTATGTGACACTATGTGACGATGTGCACCAAGTAGATTCATAAACTTGTTATTGATTTGTTCAGCTTAATGAAGAAAAACAGGGACAAAAACACCAAGCCCAAACTGCCTACGAGTACCGGTGATTTCCACATTTCTAGATCTCAACTGAGACTCCAACGGAAGCATCCCCAAGGGCTGCTTCGAGCTTCTCCAGGGCTTCCTGCACAGAACGCTGCCTTTACGCTCCTTGGATGAACAACAGCAGGACTTATGATTCTATGATGAGTCAGTGTCATCTTCTATTTGATGATGGACTTATGATGACTATTAGATATAATATAATATCCCTACCCCTATAGAGGGGGAGGGCGGGGGGGGGACAAAACCAACCTGTCGAATTGCACTTTGTTTTGCTTGAAACCCTGGGATAGTGATCCAACCCCTCGAATGGAATTGTAAAGTAACATTTCTTAACAAGCCTTGGGCACTGGTTAGAAAATACTTGCGCTTAGCTCCGGAGGAGCTAAGCGCAAGTATGATGACGGCAGCGCAATTTTTTGGAGGGATGCCATCCCTACACATGTGCTGCTTCAGTCTGACATGTGCTTAGCTCCTCCGGAGCTAAGCGCAAGTATTTAATTTTCACCTGCTTGCCAATGACATGGAATGATGAGGAAGATTGATCATTGAGAAAACATGATTGCAAAAATGGAATTTTAAAATGAAATTTCAGTACGACCCCCCCCCTCAAATTCCATTTTTAAGAGGGTAGGGATAATGTAGTGGATTATCATGCTGTACTATCAATTATTATTTATGATTTGCGATGGATGACTGTGTGTCACTAATGTTGAAATCCCTGAAGCAGCACCACATTGCAGCAACTGCGCCCAAAAAATATCGTTGGGCCTTGACTTCTTGCTGCCCAAGCAAAGCAGCCGGAGCTTGGATTCCCTGAAGAAGACCTCACAGCAGTTCAGTGTTCTTCTTGGGTAATTATTTTATTTTGTCATGAATTGCACTTGTGAGGATTCGGTGCTGGAAGGAAAGAAACAAAGAAGAACATGCATGCACTATAGTTGCAAGAAATGCCTCATCAATAACGAGCTTCACCCTCTTCGCCCCGAAAGAGATGAAAGGATTGAAAACTCACTGTCTCTTCGATTTTCATGAAAATTCCGCCATCCTTTGACCACAAGTTTCGCTGCACCTGCAAGAACGCAAACCTGGCATATCAGGGTCCAACTGCACCAGGGGGCTGAAGCACATCAGGATGAAACATACAGTAATAGAATGTAACAGATAGTAATAGTGAGTATGACATGGTCTGGCAACATGAGGACAACAAATGATGACTCACCGCCAGGCTGCAGAGGCCGCTCAGGGGCCATGAGTTGAATCAAACTCCTGCGGCAATGCATAGGACGGTCCACCTGTGGTGCCGCAGCCTTTTCACATACACCAGCGATGACATCTTTTGAGGCCTCAGATATGTCGGCAGTCCGACGGTCCGAGGCAGTCCTAACGTCAGTTAGAAGCCTCCAAATCAGTGGTTCGATGCTCGCCAATTTATGGTTTGAAGATGTTTGAAGATGTGTTCTTAAGATTTCTTAAGATGCTTCAAGTGCAATGAGGCTCTGCCCTGAGTCACCCAACCGAAAAGGTCTCTGTGCACTTTTCTTTGCACTGACCTTCAAGACATTCACACACTCTGAGGATGAAGGTGTGGGTTTCAGGCTCTATCAGGCTCTAATCTATGTCAATAAGTTCCGACATCAGTCACATCTCTATATAGATTCAGACACTTTCAATCAATATACCAACTCCGTCAAACAATAATCGTCACATTACAATGCGATACCAACTGATATCTGCGAAAACATCAGGTTCCAGATGGTCCCAGCATTTTGCACAAATTGATCAAATTGTGCAAATGGAAACTAGGCTTCAATTTGCTGATAGATCACAGTGCTTCTCTTACGTTCTCTGAAAACAACCAAGTCTTGCCAGCTCCACTCTGCCATTTGGCAATGCCATCTTCACCTTCGCGTCGCTCGTCATGGATTCAAGATGATTCAAGAATTATTCAAAGGGTTCCAGTTCTCAAACGGAAATGTGTTGTGCTCCTCAGATTTACCCATGCTATACAAATACGATGACATTTCTATCATGTGCATTCATTTTCTATTGTTCTGGTTGCGGGATTGACTTCAGACTTCCTTACCGATGATATTGCCTGGGGGCCACCACAAGGTCCCTTGTCAAGTCTACCCCAAGCCTTCGACCATGGGGCCACCCTCCTGACTACATCAAGGTGTTGCACATATTGCAATGGCCCACTTTCCACCATTTTGTTGGCGTGCTTCGCAAAGCTGCAGACTTTGTCAACATTTGTCAACTGTTGGTTAGCGTGGTATTTTGGCAAACCCAACCTATGGCCCCTGAATTTTCTGTCTGACGGTAACAAGCTGACAGTCAACCCTTTCAAGTCTGAGAAGAATCCAATACCATGATTTGACACGGTAATTAAATGCGTTGCTGTCATATCTGTCATGCAAGTTCAGTCCTCAAGCGACAGTGCAACCCGTAGCACCGGCGAATCCGCGGCAAAACCACAGGTACATCTAAGCCTCGGCCCAGTTCCGAAACAACTGCCCTTGTGTCCTAGATACAACCAACGTCACCATCAAAAGATCACAAGAATCAGAACCAACTCAAAAGACTTGTGGAGGATTAGTGTTTTTTTCATGTATTTCATGTGCACCAGCAAAATCATGCTACAGCCGACTACATCCATGCCCATCAGCCGACTGATTCTTTAGGATGGATTTAACTGATCCAACCATTCCAACCCACCATCCAACCCTAACCGCCAGCGTTTTTTTTAAGAGCAACATCTTGACAGACTGAGGTCAGATCTTGCCAGAGTCAGGCATGGAGCTGCCCAGCCTATGCTAGTTGCAATGTGGAAAATGATAAACGATAGGATTTTGGGGGTAGTTACCTTATTTTGCAAGACCTAAACCTAAACACCTCAACTCCCAACACGATCTGGATGAAGTTCCACCGTGGACGCAGCTTGAGGATCACTTGTTTCATCCAGAACTTTTCACCCGAGGATGCCGAGTTCAAACTTTAGATTCACTATGGTTCACCAATGACTATCAGCCAAGTCACACAAGGCCAGCAAAGTCCGGCTTCAAGCGCTGCACCTGTCAAGGTGAGAAAAAAAAAAACAGGTTTTGTCAAATTCCACAGCTCCTGTTAGTAACACAGCAAAAAAACATGACATTGAAATCACAGCACATTGAAGTTGATCGTTGTCCAAAGTGGAGAAATCCTTGCAGTCCTTGTAGCATTGCACCAGTTTCGATAGCTATAGACAAAAGACGAATAACAAATGACAATGTTTGTCTCCGTCCACAGAACTGTACTGCAACATCAAAGAGAGTTGTGGCCTGAGCCACCATCCAAATCCCATGATATCCATGGTCCAAAGACATAATCGCATAATGTGACATAGTCTTTGTAAAACGGGACATGACAAGTGCCATCAACTGGCCCTTTGACCTTGGTATGGGAGAAATCTTCACACTGCAACCTGGCATATCTGGCGATTTTGAATGGTGCCTGTGTCGCTGCGAAGGCAACTGCACGATGTTCATGCCTTGCCTGCAAGCTTCGCTAGTCTAGTCTAGCAACAGCATCCAGCGGCTTTCCATGGGTCAAAAGTTCAAAATACAATGACCGAAATTAGTGGATGCATCCACCGCCACCAGTATCTTCCAAGCACCATTATTGCCACCGATCCACAAAATGTCTTCAACATGTTGTTTTGGCAGCAGGCTTCAGCCCAGTTCCATCCACCCCATGCCCGTCCGGTCCCCATGTCGCTTCTTGCAAGATTTAAAGTGTGTGTTTTGCCCATGTGAGTGGTTAGGACCACTACTCCAATGCTCCAACAGTCTCAAAAAATGACGAAAATAATCGAACATATACATTGGATTCAGCCGCATTCCATTTTATGCCATGCACAGAGGTTTTGCAACCATGACAAGAACGTCATGGCACCTAGTGAAACCAAAACTTTGGCATACCGCCTGATTTTCAGGCACCTTTGACTCATGGTAGAGTCCAGGTTCATGGCAGAACCTTCCATCATTGTTAATTCCTTGCCGGCCCATCGGCAGGGCCCGGCCAAAAGGAAAAGGTAGCCATGGTAGGCCAAAAAGAAACAGGTATCACCTTGTTCTTCTACGCTTGTTTCCGTCACCCCTGGGATAGGGGGGGGTGGGAGCCACAAAGCTACCCCCAACAGCATTAAATTACATGACATGCTTCATCCAAAACGTCGAGACGACACACTTGGATTCAGCCGCATTCCATTTTATGCCATGCACAGAGGTTTTGCAACCATGACAAGAACGTCATGGCACCTAGTGAAACCAAAACTTTGGCATACCGCCTGATTTTCAGGCACCTTTGACTCATGGTAGAGTCCAGGTTCATGGCAGAACCTTCCATCATTGTTAATTCCTTGCCGGCCCATCGGCAGGGCCCGGCCAAAAGGAAAAGGTAGCCATGGTAGGCCAAAAAGAAACAGGTATCACCTTGTTCTTCTACGCTTGTTTCCACGCTCCCCACCATAAGCATGGTGCTCGTTGATAAAAATCGACGAAAATTGAGCAACCTTGAGCTTGGAGGACCATGACATCCGTAAGGAAGGGAGCAACGCCAGTCCATCACATATATAGAGACGGGCAATGTTTGAATTTTTCCACCTTCCTCTGATGAGGGTACGCTCCATAAGCCCGTGCGTCTGCATTTCCAGTGTCGCACCTCCGCGCCTCAGAGAGTACGGACGGAACCCCAGCGCGGTTAACCCCAGCTGGTCAATTCCATCCCTAAACAAAGTGCGGAAGGCAGTGCCACTACCACTCCAGCAGGGCACATTGGAAAAGCCTTGCAGGTTACGAAGGTCAAGCATGGCCTGGACTGTGTCATTTGTAATGGGGTCTGACAGGCTGACACTTTCCCTGGAATTGTTTCGCACGCCACTTTTGCTGCTCGGGAGGCTGACCAAGCCTTTTTCTCTGTCGAGAATAAAGTCACAAGGCCTGATTTGGAGAATTTCTCCTGTCCGCAATAGACAGTGGAACCCCAAAAGGACCAGCGCCGCCATTACTAGGTGATCATTGGCCAGGCACCAGCCAGCCAACGCCAGGGTTATATCCTGAGTAATGGGGGGCGCGCGGCAGGGAACCTCATATTTTCTCCAAATACTGTAGAGCCTCCAGCTTTTCGAAAGCTTCTTCTTGGTGAAGGGCTCAAAGTGGTGGAGGCCGCATAATGCGTCCCCCACCAGGTAAAGGGGAGTTCCATCCTCAAACTCCTGTTGAATCCAATCGGCCACTGCTTCGTCCAATCCGATCTCGGTATCCACAGTCTCCAAGACCGGTGCCAACCGGGAAACTGCTGTATAGTATCGTTCCAAGGTGCTTGCCGTGATCCCAATATCCTCAAGATGTATATCTCTCCGAGCTTGCCGCCTATCCTGTTGACAGGCGAAGCCAGCCCACCTATGGTGCTCGGCTATCCCCATCAGTGGGGTTCTCGGAAGATTCGACGTGCAGCACCAGGAGGTACAGGTCCCACGCTAGCAAAAGAGCCGTCAACCGGCGAAGCAATGGCTTAAGCAGCCTCGCCGATGTTCTTCCCTTGGAGGTAATGGCCATGGCAACATACGAGTCAGTCAAATGAAAGATCCTTAGATGATATTCTTTACCATGTCTAATCCTCCATTCAACTGCATGGACAAGCGATCGGAGCTCCAAGCTATTTATATGATCAGGTTTCTCCCATTTACAAGCGAATACCTTCGACCAAAGCCACCAGTCAGCGTTCACAGATTGTCGGGGATAGGCTTTAGGGTTAAGAATACTACCAGAGGTTATTCGAATGTCAGATCCAGTGTGGTTTGCCCTCCTAAGTAAACAGCTATGAAGAGAAATGATGTCGACCTCCATGGTGGGGGAACCATACACCAATCTGCGTGCCAATGGAGCCACAACTGCAATTGGACAGTTAAAGCCTGGGGCTAGCCCCATGCGCATCCACAACTGGTGATAGGAAGGGACGGCCACCCAGGAGGCACACAACATAGCTGCTATATATACAAATGAGAAGCAATTGAAACTGTCACCAATGAGGCTTTTTCTGGTATCCTCATACCCTTGCCAATTGTTTTTAATGTCCCCGGCGTTCCAACAAAGTGTGGTGTGACCAAAACCCAAGCCCTGCAGCAGTTCCCTTTCACTAGCGCAACACAACCGCCACTTACTTCCCTTCCAAAACACGAATCTGTCGCCATATTGATAAGGGGGGAATCTGAATTGGTCTGCCTGCCACCTAAGCTTGGTATCGTCAGATGCCCTGTCCAATCCGGCCGGTTTCAAAGGGGGTGAACGTCTTTTAATGGATTTCATGCAGGTGGGCAATAGATTACCCTCTTCGCCCCCTGGCCAATGCCAGCCTTCTTCAATCCATTGCTCTACTGCCGGGAATTCATGCGGCATGTGGACATGTGTCCAGCGCTCTTTTTCTTCAAGCGTGACGCCCTCCATTGGGGTGGGAGTCACATTGCTCCAGCAGAATCTTGGCCGATGCAAAGGCACAGCATCAGCTGAATCCAGCTTCAGAGGTTTGGCATTGAGCACGGAGCTTATCTCCTGCTCTGCCTCGACATCCATGCTGGCTACGTTCTCTAGGGCATACTTGACCGGGAAGTTGAAGCCAAACACCTGCTTGAGCTCCTTCAGGATCCTGACCACTTCCCAGAAGAGACCAGACTGTGGATCGTCGAGGTTCAGACGTCCAAACCGGACAGAGGACAGCCCTACGCACGGAAAACCGGCCCACAGGTGTATTTCACGGACACCTGGGTAGAGGTACCGCCACTCATGCATAACCTCTCGGGTCAAGGACCTCACATCCTTCTCAAGCCGCACATGCGGCCAGCGGCGGCTAGTGACCCTGTTTGCCTCCTTGTTGATCTCGTACGCTATACAAACCGTAGGCTGTACTCCGCATAGGTCATAGCATCTGAAGGCGCATCCTATCCCATTGAACAGGCTAAGAGCCAGCACAGGAATCTCCTTGCCCTCGGCAAGACCTCGCAAGTCCGCCGCAGCAAATTCCCGGCCAGCGGGCGTCAGCGTCAGGCTCTTGCCGACAGCGCCCCCTGTTGAGCTAGCATCACTCGCTGTCGTCATTCCAGACAGCTTTGCTGAGAGGTTGGCGTGCATCAGATGAACACCACAGCAGCAGTTTAAGAGCTCTGAGCGGACTCTGGCTTCTGCTGCTTCCCCACGGTATTTTCCCGCTATGTAACCCCAGGTACCATCCAAGAAGCTCATAGTCGGTCGCCTGAATGCCATGCAGTGCACCCAACGCCCGGCAATAACCTGGACCCACTTTCGCCGAAGCTGTCTCTTTGAGATCACGGCAACGGTGCTTTGCACCAGCCGCAAGATCCTCTCTGCAGATGGCCCCAGGGTGCCAGTTTCACCATCCAAACAGGCTCCTAGTTCATTGGCTCGGGTTTCCCCAGCCACTTTCTTCTTCTCCGACGACAGGACTCCAGCCGATCGCCAGGCATCCTCCAATGCCTCATGAAACCTGAATCCATGTTCGGGCTGTTCTCCCGGCCCCAGCTTTTCCATGGCGCAGAAGTTGTCCAAATAAACATGGAACCAAGGGCGTCCCGTGGTGGCAGCTTCATCAGCCACATCTGTAAGCCATGGAGGCAGCGGAGCGCAGCGGCGGATCATGTGCGAGCGCGGGAGACGTCCCAGCTCACTCAATTTTTCAGCCAGCTCCTGCATGATGGCTACTGCCGAGGACCATCCCATGGGTATCACGGCACAACATGGCCGGAAGCGCTGTCCCGCCTGAAGTCCTATATCTTCCCCATTGAACCAGATGTTAAAGGCCATCAGTGGGTGCCACTGCACCGGTAATCGAAAAAGGTAAAAAGCTGAAACCATATCACTTTGATATAGGGCCAAACGGTGGTCAGAGTTCAAAACCAATGAAAGATATTGACAAATAGAGGGGAGGTTCTGCGTCCCACCTTGAGCCTGTTTGCAGACGCCATTGCACGGTATGAGATTCATTATAACCCGTTGGATTTCTTCCCCGGTTTCCAGGTGAGAGCCTTTTCCTACAGCGAACATGCCGTTGAGTACCTGGGACCCTCCTACTCGCATCACATGGTCATCCTCAATCCAGTGACAAATTTTTCTCTCAACCAAAAGCTTGAAAAGTTCAAGGGCTTCCCCACTCTGAATATGGACCTTTGCCTCCAACTTCACCCCCTTCCTAGGGGCTTCCAATACACTTTCGAGGGGATTCTCCAAAAACCTTCTAGATCCCAAACACAGCAAGTCAACAGTTTGTATGGAACCGCCATGAGAAGCAGGGGGTAAGGCCGGTAACACACATTTAACCCGTAGGGGTTGCATCTTGGGCACCTCTTCTCCCGTATACGTCAAGAATCGGGAAGCTAACTCTTTTTCAGCTCCCTCGAGGGATCGCTCCAAGCTAAGGTCCGGGGCCAGCACTCTTTTAATGCTAGCCCGCACTGAGTCCAATGCCGCGGCTTGAGCTGCAGTGGGCTTCCGCGGCAGAGCTGCACGGCCGTAGCCAGCAGCCGCGTTGAGGCTCATTATAGTCAAAGCTAGCCAGACCTCGTCAATTCCAAGGCACGCAAAATGCGGCCGACAAAAATCGTCCAGGCTCGAACCTTCAGCTAGAGCACAAAGTTGTGAAACGCGCTCCAGGGGCAACGGTAACAGGGGCCGACAGCGGGCTGTCAGTCCCCGGTGCATGGCATAGAATGGAGTATTCTTCCCCATTACCATAACCCTCAAGCTGGCGCTTGCCTCCACCTCCATCTCGGCTCCAGGAAAGGTCAGCAGGAGCCACAGCAAGGCTCGTCCAGCCCCTTCCATAGAAGAGGCACGGCGGCCCACCTGCCGCAACATAGCTATACCTTTCTGGAGCCCAAGAGGCAGCGGCCCGGCATCGGCCAGCCATGCGCTCAGTCCAGCATCTCCTGAATTCAGTGCATCCCCATCCAGGGGTCCTTTCACTTCTTCGGAGCTTCCTCCTGTGTCTCTTTCCAGGGGTTTGGCTCCCCCTTCTTCCCTTGCCAGTTCTGTCCTTTCCCTGCTCCTCGTCCTCCTCCTTTTGGCTTGCCTTTCTGATCCCCTTTGCGGCCCTTCTCGTTCCAACCGCCGCCTTTTCCTTTGCCATAGTTGCCACCCCCCCAGCGGCCTGTCGTGATGCCCTGCGACTTTTGGACGAGCTTCTTGTGCCGCTGGGCCTGTAGCATGGTGGCCACTGAAGCCGACTGAATCGGCTCCAGTGGATAGAGCTCGAGCTGGCTGGCCGTGGTCCAATTGCCTTCGGCCAAGGCCGTATGCACGGCCACAAACCGCCCTGCCAGCGCGTCGGCGGTTTCGGCCAAACGCCCGGCTCGCAAAAGGTCTATGGCCTGACCCAGAGCATAAAGCTCTCTCAAGAGCGGGCTCCCTGCTGGATAATAAGGCCGGATCAGTAGGGCGAAGTACGTCCCCACTTTGACCCCGCTCGTCAGCCCTGGACGGGCACCTTCTGCTTCTAGCAGAGAGCCTCGGTCCAACTGATCCTGAGCGTGCTTGATGAGCATTTCCATGACACTCCCCGGCGACCTGGTGGCCCGGCGCCGGAGAGGGGGCTCGTAACTGAGCTCCGAGCCCTCCTCGCTGTCGTCCATGCTCTTGTGTCCACCTCCTGAGGAGGAGCTGCTGCTGTAATCGCTCTCGTCGGGGTCTTCGGATCCGTCTGGGTCCGGCTTGACCTGGTAGCCCCCTCCCAGGGAGGGTTCCCTTTCTCCACGACGGCTGCGCCTCTTCTTTTTCCGGCTGCGGCGCTTCTTTGAGGACTCGCCGGTCAGTAACCTGGCCAATCGTTTCAAGGGATCCTTCTTCTCGCTCTTCTTCTTGTCTCGCGCTCGTTTTGCCTCCCTCTCTGAACTCTGCACGGCCTGAGCCAGCAGAAGGGAGGTGCTGTCGTTCCTCTTCCCCAAGTCCTTCTTCCATTTCTTCACCCCGCCGGCGCTTGTATCCGCCGACAGGTCTAAGGCCATCATACTCTGTTGACCAGGTTTCAGGGAGGTTCCAGCGATCATTGGAGACTTGGCCGGAACAAGTGATGAATCTCCTGCTTCGGGTCCACCACTCAAGCCCGCGGCGCGCCTGCGTCGCTTCGTCGCCGGAGGGTCCCCCATGATGCGCTCCCGGGTCTCCTTGAGAATGCTGCGCAACTGGGCACGGTCGACTCCGGCCCCGGGGGATCCCTCGGGCGTCTCCTCTTCTTCCCCAGAGGGCACGTCGATGACAGCCCGTCCAGGCTTGTCGCCACCGCCCGTACGGCTTCGACGAGCCGGGGCAGCCGGGCGAACAGTTTCTCCTCTCCTGGGCTTCTTGGCGGCATCGCCTGGCTTGGCTTTCGCCTTCGTGCGGCGCGGCTGCCCAGCCTTGATGGCAGCGGCAAGCAGCTTGCGTCCCGCGTCTGTGAGATACTCCGCACTGAAGTTTGCCGCTGTCCAGCATCGGACCTTGGTAGCATGCAGGAGGCTGGTGTCGTGGGCCAGTGCGCAGGGCTCGTCCTGGCAAAGGTGAATCTTTCCCTCTCGCAGAATCACCTGCGCTTCGCTCAGAATTGAAGCGCTTTCGGCCCCTAACAGTTCGCCACCTACCAAAGCGCCTCCATGAACGGAGACTCCCATGCTGGTGATCAACACCGCAAACCATTCGTCGGTCCCAAACCCGACGGAGCTGCCAGCAACTCCAACTTCCAAAACTGACCCTTGTGGAAGGGTCATAGCATCCCATCCGTCCGTGCCTTCCACAACCTCGGCACCCTCGGCCACTCCCAATATGTCGGCGGGAGTAAGAATTGTGACTTGCTTCTTTGGCGCCATTGCTCCTCTTAAGGGTCAAGGGGCGCACGATCCCAGAAGGAATCCGGCTGGCGGTGATGAAACCGCTTGAAGGGGTCCTGATTGGCCCTCCAGAGGCGCGGGTGCTTCGCCCCTGCGCGATGCTTTCTTTTGCGCTTCCCTTCTCCTCGTTGTCCGTGTTCACGATGCTCGTGCCCACGCTCTGTTCCTCTCCGTCGTCGGCTTCTCGACCTTTCACGGCGGTCACGGTCACGCCTTGACGACCGGTGTTCTCTGTCACTCCTGTCCCTATGGCCAGCACGATCTGAATCAGCTGGAGGGGCTGAGGCCTGACGCTCGCTGTCACGGCGCCTAGGCAACTCAGTCCGGTCGTCTTTGCTTGGAGCGGCCTTTGGGGCCGCTTTCAGGCCAGTATCCTCGTCCAGCTCACCTTCCTCTTCGTCTTCCTCCTCGGTGTACTCGTACTCAGAGGCCTCACCAGGGGGCTCGGCTTTGACCGAAGGAGGTCTCTCACTCCCGCGTGCCTCAGCTGCCGGCGCCTGGGGAGGTTCAGGGGCAACGGCCTCTGTAGCCGGCCCCTCACGCTGACTCGCAGAGGATGCACGACCACGCTCAGCACCCTTCCGCGGGCTGGCGGCACGGCCCTTGCCAGCCCCAGCGATGCCCAGGCGGCGGAGGGCCCGGATCTGCCGCACGGCACTGACACAGATGTCGTTGGCCAGCAGCCGAGATCCCGGGGCCCCCCACGCCGATCTGAGCTCCCCAGTTAGCGCCTCAACAGCCGAGCACGCCAAGCACCAAGAGTCGCCTAGGTGAGGCTCGCCCTGGTTGCACTTATTGCAGCGCAGCATCCAGGGCCCACTTGAGCCACAAAGCTACCCCCAACAGCATTAAATTACATGACATGCTTCATCCAAAACGTCGAGACGACACACTCCTATGGAATCCATGGCGGTGCACCAACTCATTCCGACAATCAATGACTTGTCCCAATCAATGGAAAAATATATCGAACAAAGTTGAACAAAGTGTAGGAACAGAATCAGCAGCTCTCCTTTCCGGTAACCTGACCTCCTCATCTTCCACTAGTGGCAGCAAGACCAGAACAGCATCATCCGCCAGGTGTTGGCGCACCTGGACCGAAATCCCTGCCAGGACAGCTGCCTGGTAATCCTCATTAATCCTAACGATTCGTCGAACAGTTCATCTTCATTGAAGCACTGAGCAATACTGAGCACTGGCCAATGGCATCCCAATGGCAAGGAATATAGTGACTATAGTGGAATAGGTTGGAACAGGATGGAACTGGAACAGGTCAATGAATGTGCTATGGAACACTTTGCCACACAGTCAGCCCAAATCTGGCCTGCTGTCGAAGCGAGTCCCACATACCCTCATAGGACGCCTGGCATGTCAGCAATTGATTCTTGGACATCCTCTGCTAGCTGGAAAGCACAAACATATACAAAAATCATTTCCAGCAGGACATAGTGGGATCTGAAGTTAACATGGCGACAGTCTCACCATTCGATTGTATGAAATCATATAAAATCAGAAGGTTGGTGAACCCCAGTAACTATGTAATGCCCTTAGCACCAACGCTTTTGCAGCGCGTCCTTGTCCTCATCTGGAAGATCTGTGTACCAGCTCGACAAACCCAGCACCACCTAGCGGAATATCTTCATCTTCAAGGAATTTCAAGGAGCTGTTTGCAGCTGAAGCAGAGTCATCCAGTTATCATCCAGTTATCTTTGTTTAACAAAGCATGGGGGTGTATACTTGCCCACCTACCCCTGAGGACATGGTCAGTCTGAATGGCGATCGAAAGATTAGCAGAATGACTACGAATCATGTGATGTCGCTTGGTGGTTGAGCAGCAGGTCGTTGAAACAAGATGCATGAGTTTAGGACATTAACAGCTGACCCGTTCATGTTAAACATGTTAAACATCCCTCAGAAACCATGGTTTAGTAGGGCATGAAACATGATGAAACCACATCTTTGGGATCTTGGATCATTCATAATTAGGTTTGTTTCATATTAGGATGGGATCATTATCCATCTGTCCATCTTTGGGGTTGTCACCTGCCGAAGCCCCAACGGAAGTACGCTAAACCTCTGGATTCTTGTGGCCTTGAATCACCTGCACGCTGGCTAGTTAAGGTGCCACTCCCAAATTTGGGGTGGCAGAGGATCTGCCAAAAGCCAAACTGCAGTCGTTTCATGCTGCAGCATTGTTCCCAAGCACCACTAGCATTGCACCCTTTGAGAGCAACACCTGCGTGGATTCATGAGGGTAGTTGCCAACCCTCAACCTTGAAATGAACATTGCGACCCTATGTCGAATCACCTTAATCAAAGAGCTTTGAAAGCAAGGAACAAGGTCCGTCTGTTTGTTCATTCCGACCCCTAAAAATCTCGGAGAATCAATGGCACACATCCTCCAATCTGTCGGGTGCCTCCTTTGCTGTCTCTAAGATGCTGCCGAGGAAGTCCTGAAAGCCAAAGGAAGAGCAGGGCAAGCCCCAGCGATGGAGCCAGGTTCGGCAGTGGGCCCCGCTTCTCAGTACTGGATCAATTGGATTCAAGTGGCATTCCTGAATACCTCTGCTCTACATCTTTCGCCAAACATGTTGCACAATGCAATTTTTTGACGGCCTCTCTAAAATCCTATTGCATGGACGGTCTCATATTAAGTTGGGTCACGCCAACATTTTATGATTATGAGTCAATTTTGAGTACACTCCGAAATAGGCGGGTAGATCAGTCAGCTTCGCAACCCGTTGTAAGTGCCAACGGACAAAGAATCGCAAAAGACTGGCCATGCTGGGCCATGCTGAGCTGCCGGCTGCGAACTCTTTGCGTCGTTGCAGAAGAGCAGCAGCATCCTACAGCATAGGGCTGATACAATGACGGAGTAAACTTCCACTTGGAAGACTCATCTTTGGGGTCTCTAGGCACCATCAAAAATGATTAAAATGAAGCAAGCACTTGTACAGAATCAGAAGCCACAAATTTATTTTCCTGTACATGACCAACAGTAATGAAGGCCAGTGCTTTATCCCTTCTGGATGGGCTATCGTCTTACACGACCTGTTGTTGCGAAGGGCTTGTAAAGACCACTGTAATTAGGCAACTGTTGAGTGCGATTGAGTGCGTGAGGGAGGGGTCAAGTGGGTACCCCTGGAGACTAATAAAAATGCATGGCTTAGTATCGAAAACAAACTAAGACCCGAAAAGATATGGTCAAATATGTACATAAAATATGTAGAGATGGTGCCGATGGTGGAGCAGCCAGGGTATCCTCATCTTCTTTGCCGGCACCAAGATCCTGCTGCTGGTGGCTTCCAAACTGCCAACTTAAGGGCAAATTCACGATATTTCACGATGAATTTCACGATGAATTTCAAGATGAATTTCACGATGAACATCGATGAACAAACTGGGTTCCAAAATGTTCCAAATCTTCTGGACCCGGAGGTTTGCTTCCGTGCACGACGTCTCATCTTGGGGTTCTAGCCTGATGAGAGCGAACTTGTTGGTCTCCGCATGTCAAGCCCAGATCCAAATCGGTGATCGCTCAAATCACAAGAAAACCGGAACCAAGGGGACTGGAGATTTCTCCAATGTGCAGTCCGGAGCCAGGGCAACCCTTTGCCAAACCTGTCCTTGAGAGGATCCAGAGATACCCCAACATCTCGCACTGAGATTCGATCACCTACAAGATCCCACGCAGCCCACGAAGAACCAAGGAAGATATCTAACCTAACTCCCCCGAGCTCTATGTCAACCCTGTGTACCATCCTTCCATCACATGGACGCAACACAAATTCAAATACATTCAAATACATTCAAATACATTCAAATACATTCAAATACATTCAAATGCTGTATATAGTTACTACATAATGCGTGTTCTACAATAATATATTGTACTTATGTATGATGTGGATTTGGCAACGTTGCAACTTTGCTAGCAATGTTCGCAGCTCAGGGAGAAAGACTGCAAGAACTTGGAGTGTTTTCTGTCTGCAAGAATTTAGAATGAATGCCACTTGGTCAATATGCATTGTTGAATTTCTTGATGAAGAGCTGATTCGCATCTGTCTGAAACTCACGTTCAGGGACCGAATATCTTCACGGTATTTTATTGTATTTCCTGTTGCAACTGCAACTCGCCCCAAGTCTCTCAGTACGTGTCCAGCAACTCATCAGAAGCAGCGGCGCAGCTCCCGCGCCACCAATGTCATGCTATTTCATGCCGTGCCTTTATCTTGAAGAAGCACCACTCGGGTCTGCCCTGCAGTGACAAACCATGTGCAGGAAATCCATCGAATTCCATCGAACTTAGCTTCTGAGCCCCAGCCTTCCATAGCCTCTATGTACACAACAGGTGATCGTGGTACAGCAGTAACTTCCTTGCGTGGAGCAACACGGAACAACCATTAGAATTTGAACCGCTGTGCACAATTTGGTCACTGTATTCACAATTGCGTCCATATTCAATTCTCCTCAATACGGCTGCTCAGCATCAATTACAATATTCCACGTGATACCAGGTGCACCACCTTTCACATTCAAACTTCAATCATACTTCAATCCAATCCGAGGCGCTACAACTTTCTCCACCGGAACCGTCACCGAAGCGGCTGGCATTTCTGCTGACGCTGCCGCTGCATCGCTGGCAGGGGCTGTGGCATCTGCAGCTCCGGCATCTGCAGATGGTTCAGCGGGAGCATCAGCCGCTGGCGCATCAGCCACTGGTGCATCCGCCGCAGCATCGGCTGCCGGCACATCAGCAGCCGGAGCATCGGCTGCCGGCGCATCTGCGGCTGGAGCGTCGGCTGCTGGAGCATCTTCCCCTCCTGGCGCCTGGAGGCTTAAACCCAAAGCAGAAATCACAAAGCTGGGTTGTCAGTGAACTCAAATTCAGCTTTCCGAGCCTCTGGGGCAGCCCCCTCAGCGTCAGCCTGTGGAAGAGAACTTGGAACAACCTTGCCTTGTTGTGTAGATTTGGATACATAATAATGATAGCAATAATATAATACAATATAATATAATATAATGATAATGTAATATAATATAATATAATACAATACAATACAATAAACTATAATATAATACAATACAATACAATATGATATAATATAATATAATACAATGATATTTGAATATATTTGATTCAATGGTCTTTGACCATATTTGAATATATTTGATGGTGAAAACTCAGATGATCTCGGATATGCGGTGGGAACAAATAGGAATAGCAAAACACGACCCTAAATCGTCATGATTACATATGCACACCACGACCTGCATAGACATCCCTGATGTGCAGTTTCTTTGAACATGCCAGGATGACCATGGATCAGCTCAAGTGCAAATGGCTTCCGCTCATGAGCAAAGCCCCCACCCCAGCGTCTTTGTCGTTGGGCAATTCTCAATTCTTTTGGCAAGATTGTTTGAACATCTTTGAAGTTTTCAAAAAAAGGGAATCAGAGTGCAACTGCCTGCCCTGATTTTGGCACGTTCTTTTCCTGTTCTCTGCCCTTACCACCTCTCAGGTGCACGGCTGCCACTGGCTCGTCTGGGCCGAAAAGACATCATGATGAAGCTTCGGAGTCTGGATCAGCACATTCACGCTCAAATCCTGCAATATGGCTGTGGTAAACCAGTGTAAACCTGATTAAACCTGGCCAGACTCAAACTGCCTTATAAATGTGGTGGTTGGATGTGCTCGGGTTCTGTTAAACACCTTCAGATGCGATAGGACCAAAGGAGCTCGTACAAGAATCCGGATGTTTGGAGGCGCATTTCCAGTTACAGTTGAACTGTGACATGTCATCAATGGGGGCACAGTCATCCATTTTCCTTTCCAAAGACACTATGCACAGCTTCACCACAGCTCCGGATATGTGGCATGTGAGCAGCCAGTCCAGGTTTGGACCATTCATTTGTCACTGCCCAGGTGTGAAACGTTGAGCACCACTTCCGTGACACGGCCCCAATCATCGATTCTCATCGATTCTCCATGTGCAACTCGATCAGAGCTAGAAGGCCTCGGCAGCCGCGCTCCCTGAGAAAGATGTGTGTTTGGCTTCAAGAGCTTCGTTGTGCTCCAACCAGCACCCACGCTTATCCCACGCTTTTTTGCGACTTATTGTATCAAATCGATGTGACTGCAAGCGCCACGTAATCTACAAGCAGGTTTTGCCCGCCGCGGAGTCTTCCCGTCTCACTCAGACTCCAACATCCTCTCCAACTCCCTGCAGCCACAACGTGAGTACCGTTAGCCCACCAGGTCAGAGGATGAACAGGGCAGCACAACTGTCTACTTGGGGATGGGTCAAAACCCTGTACCCCTGGTTAACATCAAAATAGCTGGTAAATGAATGTTCATCCCACTAAAAATGGTATCTATAGGTATTGACCCATACCCTACTATTCTTTAGTATTGTCTACTGATAAATGAATCTTCCCTTTTCAAAGGGGAAGCGTCTCAAGGAACTTCATTCGGAATACTACGGGCTTGCAGATGCCAACATGCGATGGCCGCAACCTGTTGACTTCACAAGTCTTGGACAGATCCAAAGCAGTAGAATTGCAAGCACGACCTGAAAATAATTACAGTAGTTGTCATGATGTGGCTATGGATGAAGACCCCAACAGCGCTAGATGGATGTTGATCCCAACAAAACATATAGAAATGGTTGGTGACTTGTGATACACCCACTACAGATCATTACAGCATATCCCATCCCTATGGCCCGGCGACAAATCCCTGAAATCCCTGGCCTAGCGACCGCCTCCTCGTCATTGCTCCACTCGCTCACTCGGTTGGCAACCTGTGGAATCAGCTATGGAAGCCATGGCCCATTTAGTTCGATGATTTACCTAGTGAAGATGGTGGTTTTCCATAGCTAGGTATATGACAAATAACTAGAGGGTAAATGGACATGCTATTAGACTTCAAACAGGTGAAAACACCATCCATTCTCAGGTGTCCGGGCCCTGTGCAGGCATTGTGCAAGTTGCTAAAGAAGAGTTGAGTAAAGTATCGTCTAGTAAGTAGGGTGTGGAAAAGAACACATCATCCAAACAGCGGTAACAAATGGCCACTCTAGGGGAAGGTAGATCTTGTGTGACAAAAACCAGAAACAGTATCAAAAGAATACTAAAAATAAGATCAAAGTTCAATCAAAATCGAATCAAAATAAATCATATAATCATATACAACTAAAATCAACTAAATATCACATGGATCACAATCACCTCTACTCTTGGGTGTACCAACCATCTCCTTCGCGATAAGTGCCTTCTTCAGCTCATCCCTGGCATTTTGCACTGCAACACCCTCACCAGCCAAGGTCAACCTCAGTCCGTTGGCTGCAGTGGAAAGGTGGATCATAGATAACTAATTAGTTGAGGTGATTCCGTACCATGAGCCAACAAGACCAACCGAATCTGGCTCATGGCCCATGGCACTCAGCATGGGAACCAAATGCCAGCAAGAATCATTTCGATGTCGTTGAAGTTGTCCCCGAAAGCCACCAACTCATCCTGAGACCGCAGCTCCATCATGAGAATGGGGGCAACAAGCAGCAGCTTTCAGCCATCATGATTCTTTAATCTTCTTGGTGAAATTGTCATATTTGAAATTCCCAATCAGCAAGCCAAACATCGACCAATGAAGCTTCATGATATGCTATCCATATCCATCACCATTTGGACAAATATTCAACGGCAAGCATCCACCCGAAGGCCCAAATGATCATTGCAAAGTCGCTGCAACATGTCACCTCTCCGTCGCAGCGCTGTCGTGGGCTGTTGGCCCGCAGGAAAGATTGGCACAGCACGGCTGTGCAGTAAGAAACTTGTTCTATTTGGACGTGTCCCAAAATGGGAGTACCCACAAATCATCCAAAAGTAGATGATTTTAGCATTGAAAGCCATGGCTTTGGGGATCCCCCATTTTAAGAACCTTCCCATTTCTGATCATTTCTGTCCAGTTGATGATCCGATGGTCAAACCGCCAACTCAATGGATCATGGGAACTCCGCAAGTAGCAATACTTGAATTTCAGCCCAGCCGCCCACCTTTGTTCACATCAGCTGCTATAAACCTTGGAATCCGTTCACTGAGCTTCGATTGGCAGCAAGGCCGTCATTTTTCCTTGACAACCTGCATATACAGTACTCCAACAATGCATTGAACTGTGCTGAATGCATGATACCTGTACATCTACATACATCTACTCTTTGCCGACCTTTGCTTTGGTTTATCCAGGAGTAGATACCCACAGCATCCAAGGTGCTCGATGTGCATCTCGGCTGCCACCACATGTGCCGCGCCAGGAGGAAGCATTGCACGTGCCTTTAAAGGACTGGACCGAGAAACCGAGAGCGGTCACATCTCAGCTGGGAATCTGGTGTTTCGTTCTGTCTAGTCCCAAAAAAACAGCCAATACAGTCAATACAGTCATCATCCCAGATTTTGGATGATTTGGGGATGGAAAAGATTGGAAAAGCAATGAACATAATGAACCAAAATTGCAATATTATCTGAAAAGATCTGAAAAGAAGCATTCCAATCATTGGACTTTTGGTGACCTTTGAACTCTTTCTTTCAACACTGGGCAAATGATGTGATTTCCAAGGAAATTTGGGTAATGAAACACATTCAATACTCAATACACATTCATCCAATCGGGAAATCGTATGAAATCATCATGGGAAAGCAAGTACTGCTGAAACATGCTTGGGTTTGCTATGGTTTGCTACTATGAATGTTTGGGTGGACATGCGGATGTTACTTGGGCATTCTTTTGGCCAATGCCAACTCCTTTCTCCCCGTGCTGTTGCTTCGGCTTCGGCTAACCCTGTCCAACGTCCAGAGCTGCTCCCACCTTAGTGGCCTGCTGGGCAGGCTCTTCAGCAAGGGCGGTGATCTTGAGTGGAAGCTCCACATCTAACAGTTCTCCGATGCTTGCAGAGTCCAGCCGTTCCTTCCAGGGCACCAAAAACACATGACAGGGCCATCGATGCTGGTGGCAAATGTTTGATTATTTTTGGGGGGAAACTATGGGAAACATTGTTTACACATGGCAGGCCGCAGTGCTTTAGGAATGATTCCTGCTCAAGGCCCTCCATCTCTTCGAACGTCCGTAGCCACTCTTCCTGCAGTTCAGTCTTCCTGAGCTACATTCTTCACGCATCAAGACACGCAAATCACTGATGCCACCAACAAGGATCCGGTCAGTTGTGTGAAGCAATGTCGCCCCTTGCTGCTGAGCGGCGGAACCACAGATGTGCCACGAGACAAACAATAACTTGCGCACCAACCGCGATCATCACACATTTGGATGATCCCTGGGCTCATCTGGGCTCAGGGCTATCAATTTGACAGGTTTTTTTGGCGTTGTAGTGGAATCTGTGGAGTCCACTGGCACTTTGGAATCCAACCCTCTTAGGAAAGCTATATTCCCAGCCACAGCTGCAGATCCCAATAAATCATGCCAAGGCTCTCTCAGCAGCGGAGCGACTCAGACCTGCCATATTCAAGCCCATGTCTCGTGATCAAGAACGGAGATGGTACAAACCACTCTGCCACAGCACCCCCAAATGGGTGTGTCTGAAAATGGTGTACCATGGTATACCCCATATTCCCGCCAAATGGATCCTTAAATGGTAGTTTTAGTATGTTTTAGTGGCGTTGGATTTGGGATGATTTGGGGCTTTGCCAACATGTTCAAACCCAAAATCTCATCTCCAGCCCAGGCACCTCGCGAGAGCAACAAATGTGGCGCTGCTTGCGGATCCAGCAGTGCTGCCTCGGCTGAGGGGACGGCGGTTGAGAGATTTGGTATTGGTCAAAAGTGTGGCCTCCCTAAAAATAGGTCAAGGTCATTGCCGAAATGATCAAAATCGGCGGCCCCGTGGCCCTTCAATTTTGACCCGAAATTTATTTTTCTTCTCAAGTTATGTGACTCTGTGCACCTTTGTGATTGTCCAGTGCAATGATTAAGAGGGAAGCCACCTCAGCATGGTTTGGTCTCAGTTTCAGTAGTCGCAAAATCAGAATGGCCCACTGCCCACAGGTGTGGCATGCACCTCAAGATCTTTGGAATCACTTTTTTTTAATTCTTGATCAGTTAGTTCTCATGTTCATTGCTTGAATTGTTCTGAGGCAGTAGCAGCTATGAGAAATATGTATATATATAATATATATAATTATATATATAATATATAATTATATATATAATATATATATATATTATGTTTGTATACGGTATACGGAGGTATGTCAAAGCAATCGGCTTTCCAACGTACTTATTCAATTCGCAAGGTCTGCGACGCTCTTTGAGCTTGAATCTCACCTTGAATCAGTGCTAAGACATCACATTCAAACCTCACCCAGCTATTGGGGATGCCACGGGATATCGTTTCCACCCACCATCCAAAGGCACCGAATCCCCAGCATGTTTTCCAAGGCGCACAAGCTCCATTGAAGCACACTGTTGGCACAGGTCGCTGCAGGTTCAGCTCCGTGATATAGGGCTGGCATCGTGGGGCTGCGAAAACACTTTATACACCAAATGTTCTGTCCTAGTTTATGGATGTTTATAGTATAGTTTGTGTTTGGACTGGGGGATATCAGAAATTTCCTTTCACATGTTTCACGCTTCACATTGGTCTGACATGTTCTTATCTCTGAGAACTTCGCAAGTTGAGTGAAGCTTCCGTCCTGCACTGACAGCAACGGCCTGCCAGTGGCCAGAATCACTTGGACCTGGGCGGAACATGGCGGAACCAGCTGCGATTTGGTCATTGTTTCACTGCTACATACTGCTACGGTGAGTGGGGAATTGTATGGAATTGTTTCATATTGTTTCATTATGTCCAACTGCTCAATTGTTTCACTGCTCCGAGGCTATCCAAACCACAAGGCGCGTTGATGCCGTTTCACTGCGATCCCGGCCACCCATGGTTTGCGGGGTTACCAAATGTCAAAAGATGTCAAAAGTAGGCTTGTTGTGAGGGTCAACAGAACAACTCCGAAATGATGTCGCTGAAATTTCCGATGAGTTGCTCCTGCTTGTTCCTTAGCCATGTAGCGCTGCAGTGAGGTTCTACCGCTGCACTGTGGTTGTTCTGCAAAGTGGAAGGAAACAAATGTTGAGATACGGGTGAACATGGACTGTTGGTCGAGTGATTGCAGCACATCATGCGAACATCCCATGACCTTGGCATCCTTGGCCTACGCCGACCTCTGAAGGACTTCCTAGAAAACTGTGCGTGAATCTGTGCAACCCATGCTCGTGTCGTTTCAAACGCATCCTGGTGATGCAAACAGCAATGGATGAGTCAGACATCCCTCCAAGACTGACATCCCTTTTCATTGCCAAGCATCCACCTGCCGTATGGCCGCCAGTGTCCGTGGTGTCAAGGTATGACTGCTAGTGAGGGTGGTGCGATCCAAATCCAGCGCCACAGCACGCCATTTGCCCAGCCCGTGTTTCATCACTCCAAGAAATCCTCGAGAAATTGCAGTGATGATCAATATCAACGGCTAGGTATCTCGCAAATGACATGGTGGTAATTCTCTTGAAGGGCCGTTGAGGATGAGGATACTTTTGTGTTTCAAAAACCCTGGTGAATTTAGTTTCAGAATCATTTGTTCAATTATGTTTATCCTCTTTGGAAGTGAACTGTACCCAAAGACAAAAGTCCTAGAGGGGATGCAAGGAGTCTCTGTTCTCAGTCTGCACTCTTGTTTCAGCGAAGGCCTTGAGTTGTTAGAGTTTCTACCATGTCACCCTAACCGTGGAATCCGCTTCGGCTCAAGCTGCAGCTTCGAACCAAAGGCCGGCCGGACAACGTGGTCACCGTGGTCACCGTGGTCACCGTGGTCACCGTGGGTGCCGGAAAAATCACTGATGGCCTCCAACAAAGGATCCAACAAGTTCTGGGAGCGTCACCCTCTCCCTGGATGATGGATTATACCTGGCAAGCAAAGGCCAAAGGCAGTTTTGGCACTTTGTACCATCTCATACTGAAGAATACGAGAGACATATGTTGCTGCGCGGACACCTCTTGGAATGTATCCGACAAAACATTCTATCCCTTGACCGCACCTGACTGGTCAGTGTCAACACATTCAAGACCTGTCACAATCCTGAAATCCATCGGCATTGACTAGATTTATCAATTTAATCAATCCCGACCTTCCATACAGTGCCATACAGATCATACAGGCTGATTGGTTTCATCCAATCGACGCCATGCCCCCCATCTTTTCCCGCAGGAATTCACACTGTACACTGTCATGGGCTGTAAGTATCTTTTCAGACGTGGGAGTGGCCGAAAGAAAGGTTCACGTCCCACCCGCTGTCTCAGATGATCAAACGCACGGTTTGAAGCCAATTCCTCCTGTTGGCAAATCAGATTTCAGATTTGCGTGATTCGGCTATGCTGCCAATTTCTCGCTGACCACTCATGGGTCTTGCTGAAGTGCAGCTTGCACTGCTGCTACCTCAACATGGTCTTCCACATTCAACAGCACAGGCTGACTGGATCCTGGAATCGCAAGCTGCCTCCGGCGACACCGCTGGCAGCCTTGACGGACGTTGCGACGCGTGCAGGGTAGCATGCAAATCGTGCAAGAAGCACATCCTCCGAGCAGCACCACAAGAAGAGTCGCCAAGGTCACGTTCCCTTGAGGTCCTGAAGGCAATGCGATGCAACGGGTGGACAAGCTGGTGAGCCAGTCCTGACTAAAGTTTGATTCCAAGATTTGAGGGGTTTAGGTTGAGTTGCACGAGTTGTACAAATTACTGATGCTGCAAATTCATGTTGCTGCAGTATGTTTCATCCAATCTAGTTGCTTGTGTTCTTGTTTCATGGAGTGGTTCTACCTGGAAGTCTGGATACAGTAGTGTTTTTTGCAAACATTGCGATACAAATCATGTGAACGTAAAGGACATTTCCTGTACACTTGGCAGCTGTTGGCAGCCACCTGCATCTACAGAAACAAGCTCTGTGTCCTGGCTGACAATCTCCGCAGGGAGGAGGTGTTGGCGATCCTGATCTGGGCCAACACTTCTTGCTGGTCTTAGAAAAGACCCCATGGTTGGTGCAGCTGCACATGCCATCGATCCAGTCGCAGCCATAGCCCCTGGCGAACCAGAGACAATTGTCCCTGTCATAGGCCTTTCCTTTGTTGCTGACGCAGGTACTCTCCGTTGGTGCAGCCGTGGAAGTTGCTGGCTGCAGCGTTGTGGTTGTCGTGGTGTCAGGGTCACTTGGTGGGTAGCAGGTGTGCGTCGTTTTGGCGTAGTATCCACCATTCGAGCACACGCAAGCTCCACCACGCCACTCACATCCAAAGTCTGCGGCCACTTCCTTGCAATAGTAAGAATCGTACGCACGGCCACTGTTGCTTCTACAAATGCTGTCATTTTCAGCAGAGAACACCATCCTCGTGGTCGTGGTTGTTGTGCTAGGCTCTGTCTCGGGAGGCCAACACTTGTGACTCCTTTTGGAGTACGTGCCGCCATTGGCACAAACACAGGAACTGTTGGCCCAAATGCACCCGTAGGTCTTTGCTACTTTGCTGCAGTCTTCCTGGCTGTAGGCCCGCCCTCGATTCGATACACACTGGCTGGCATTTCTGGACAAATCCAAGGCTAAGGCCCTGCCAACCTGCGCACCAAGGAAGGATGCAATCAGCCACATCATTGCTCAACAATCAATCTTTTAAAACTGCACTAGATCACACTAGATTCACTAGATCCTTGATCCAGAATGGAACAACAGCGCGACAACGAAGACTTGTTGATGGCTGTCTTTGCCAGGGCAATCGTTGCAAGATGCAAAGCTGGCAAAGTTGTTTGTTGCAAACATCAAAGTTCATGGTGTCGGTAGAATTCTTCAAGCAGCAAGCCCTTTAGTCAGCCTTGAGCTCGTTCTGCAGCTGAATCAGCCTGTCGGTCTGTCGGTGGAGAAATCTCGCCACTGAAAATTGGTGAACACTGTACTGCACAAAATGTCCTACTGATTTCTTGTGCAATAAGTAGATTGCTGGTGAACAGAGTATGCAGCCGGCTTGCGGAAACTCCAACCGCCGCTTCAAGAAAATATTCCGGCTGTTGCCTTGAAACATTAAATTATATCAGGTGCATGCATGACTGTATATGCACTAGAGGCCCTGCCAAAAAATGCCAAAAATATCAGATTCTATGAGTATCTGTGTAGTGTCTCGTCGACACGAGTGGAGTGTGCTAAATGAAAACCCTTCAAAAACGCATTCCGAAACTATCCCAAACTTACCTCAAGTCACTGAGCATGTCCAAGGGTCCCATCATCTTCACCAGGTTCGGGCTGAAACCTACACGCTGCAGCGGCGAGGCGCACAAGTGTTCTCCAGGTGGGACCTGATCTAATGTCGAAGGAACGTGAAAACCACACGGTCTCACTGATCATGGTAACCCTGGTATACACGAAATCATCGAAATCATATGTACAGTATATGTACTACAATGAATGTACAACGAGCTTCTACATCTACACTGCTCATTCTCTAACCATATGTTCGAGCCTGTGGAATTCAACCCACGCATCTGTGAGACATTTTTCGTCGTTTTTCCCAGGTCAGCTGAACTGCCCACTGGCACTGCTGATTAACAGGGTCGTCGTTGTAGATGACTTCCACAGAGAAAGTGAGTTGCCGAATCACGGAATATACGGAATCAAAAGGCTTGAAATTGTGCACTGTATACTCTATACCGAGTTTGCCTTGCAATGCCTTGCGGTTTTGAATCCATTTTGTCATATTTTGCCTGGTTGTGAAGTGATCGGGCCGAGCCTGTCTTGATGCCTTTCCAATCAATAGGCAGAGGTTGTCAATGTGACAACTCCACGTGCCATTCCTGGGAGAACAAATGATAACAAATGTGGCGTTCCAAGAGCAAATGGTCAGCCCCAACTGCCCGCCAAAGCTTTCATGAGGGGAGTAGAGCCGAACAAAGTTTCAATGACCTAAACATGGCCGGGCATCAAGCCTACCCATCACCTTGTGCTGGCAACAGAAACTGCAATTCTCCAAGATCTGAATCTTATCCATCTCTCAGTGATCGTTTGCACCGCAACTTGATCTCCAGAGTTTTGCAAGTCTTTCGCCACTTGCACCAGTTGTCTTCACAGTTCACGTCCACTTCGCGTGGAAGCTTGGCACGTTTCCTCCATCCGAAGTCCTCGGCGGCGAAGCAAATCTCATGTTCCGAGGTCCAAATCTCGCAGCGTTGGACCATCTCCGATGTCTCCGCGGCCCAGGCTGTGGGGAAACGAAGCGCAATGCTCACCGCATCTTGGAAGGACGAGATATGAAGTGAGGGCTCGTTCCAATCGATGGCATAGATCCTCAGGCTGGGCACCCTTGGCCGCACCATGAGTATCTACACATATCTAGATGTGCAACAAAAAACTGGTTGAAATATATTGAATTAGCATGAATTAACATGAGTTAATTACTTCAGGTACCACAGGTATGCCATAACTTACAGCCATCGAAGACTATTTGGATTGCCTATTTGAAAGATTGCTGTGGCCCCAATCGCCAGCATCCCCCAGCCACCTGTGGTGCAGCTGTGCATCCCAATGGTCGTTTCACTTTGATGTCTGGCGAGGACGTGGAAGGTGAAGCCCTGCTGGAGAGCTTCTTGAAGGAACTCGTTCATAGCTGGCCTCGCAGCGAGGCTGACATCTTTTGACCATGGATTGACCATGGAGAATTGGACAACAGCCTGGGATGACTTTCTCCTTCTGCTCCCAAACTGTACACATCTTTGCCCCATTGAGTTGTTTTAGTTATATACTACATGCTACAAAACCCGTCCGAGCGCTGCTACCATGAAGTAGTTTCTGAGCTCCAAGCTCTAAGTCGTCATGTGCCACCAACAACCTGCCAGCTGACGCACCAATTTACTGAGACATCCTGTCTTTTTTCTTTGGAGATCTTTGGAGTTGTAGACTGTCAAGATCTAATATTGAAAAGCCATGCAGAGAAGTCACCCATCTGTGACTCTCGGCCGCCTTGTCCGTTTGGGGCTTCGCCTCTCAGCAAAGCATTTCAGCAGGGCAGTTGGCAGCAACCGCTCGGACAGCAATAGGAGCCGCCTGAGAGGGAAAGCATCTGGCAAAGAAAACAGGAACGGCCCACGCGTGGTTTGACTGACGTGTCCCTATAGCTTTCCAAATCTGCTAGTATCAGTATCAACCTCATAAAGCATAGCATAAAATGTCTCATGCAATGTCTGGCCCTTTCTACATGCCCACACCAAGTGTCTGGCGGTTGACATCTGGCGGGGTCCAAGTGCTCCAGATCTTTCACATTTTGGTGCCTTGGCCGCCCCTTCGCTTCTAGCAGAGGCTTCAGAGCACCTTCCACGGTGCAGTGATGAGTGAGGGCTGCTACCAATCATGCTCTGGTAACTCAAAAGACCTGGAACATCCTGGAACATGACACCATGACACCATGACACATGGAGTGGTGGAGTATGTGCATCTCCGGTGTCCTTTTTTCTTGTTTCCTTTTGATTACCATTTGGATGTGGGTCAAAATGGAAGACCTAGGGGACCACAGATGTGAATGTCTAGTTTAGTATTAACCATCCAATTATTGGGGTACCTAATTTTGACCCATACCCATTTCAAGCCATCTTTCTTGCCATCTACCACCAGCTGCCGCCTTTGCCCACTTCCACCAGCTGCGCATCACAGAGCCACAATTGCCTCGACTGCAATTGGAAAGGTGCATCTGGATGCATCTACTATATTTCATATGGTAGTGTGTAAAAACCTTGTACCCCTGGTGAACATCAAAATAGTTGGTAAATGGATGTTCATCCCCCTAAAAATGGTATTAATAGGTATTGACCCATACCCATATATGTAGTATGAGTTTTTCAGACAAAATACCCACACATTCATGACTGGTGAGAGAGTTTGCCGGGTTTTGAGCTTTCTGGCGCTGTGACATGCGAAATGAGGACTTGGACTTGGATGCACTTTATACATTCTTTTTACTCATAATTGACTCATAATGAGGACCTCAACATACCTCATCGTTGGATTGCATCACTCAAAATTGGCGCAGGATTCCTTTTGCTCACTCAAAAGCCTAGCTTCTAGACCGTCGTTGCCTCGGGCACTTTAGCATCTTTGGCCAGGCGTCGAAGCGGGGAGGGAAGTACCAAGTATCAAATGAAAATTGAAACAGAAACCGAAATAACATCAATCATGGAGGTACGGAAACACCTGGTAGTGCACTGGTTGCAGCAAGTTCCGATCCTTGTCCGCAAAAAAATGCATGAAGCACAGGTAACAGAAATATCCCGGATCATGCGGAATCCTGTCGGATCCGTGCACAACAAACGTCGCCTGATTCTGGAAACAAGCGCAGCAATATCGTTTGAAGAATTTTCTCAGAAAAACCAAAACGGGGTAGGACTCCTGGAAGGGACAGTCACATGCGAGGTTGAACTTTCGAGCACCAGTAAAATACATCGCGTGCTCTATGTCTCCTTGGTGAATGTAGACGCACCTTTCACCAAATGGAATTCGTTCAATGTCAAAGAGTCGAATGCCCATGCTCCGGGACTTTTCCTCCCGGACTGTTATCTCAGAATTGTTTGTGTCTTTTAAGTGTTTGATCAGCTCAGGCGCATAGTCGACAGAGCGTTCACTTCGAAGGTCTGAATAGAAAATACCATCGATAAACATGCAAGCAGATTCCAAACGAGTCGGGCCATCATATTCATGGTCTGACGCAAAGTAAAATGCATCCCTCAAATCATGCAGGGTTTGGCTACCAAGAACATCGAACTCCTGCTGCTTCCTTCCTTTCTCGTCACAGACTTGAATAGTAAAAATAATCTCACTTGCTTCAACTCGCTTCACTTCATCGGGTACGATGCTCAGGTCAGGCTGAACACATTCGTTCTCACCTTCTTGACTTTGCGGATATTCCTGGCCATATTTGGCCAGAGTTTGATTCAAAAGCCTCTTGTGGGGATTTCCCTGGACTGCGCTGCTCCTGTAGACAGTTTGCCAAGTAGGGTCTTGCGAAGAAGATTCTAAGATCATCAAGGCAGTGGACAATTCTGAGCAAGTTTTCCACCGCTTTAAAGACAAATCCTTGTAGGTTGGCATTTTTGGCACTTCAACTCTCCCAGTCCCGGATTCTGCGCTTGCTTCCTGGGTGGATGAAGATGCTCCAGCTGAATCCAGGTCATAAGCGCACCTGCGGTATTTGTTCCTGGGGATTGCTTTGTCTCCATTGTCTCCTAGCAGGTCTTCTTTTTTCAATTGCTCGTCAATGATGTCTTGGACCATTTCGCTGGCCTGTTTCAGGCGGGTATTGCTCACATCCAGGTCAATCTGGGAGGCAACGGCATCTTCTTGGGGACTCACCGCAGCAACACCCTCCAGCAAATGCTCCGCGCGAAGTGTCATGGTCTTGTGGTCAGCATCCTCGGGCAACTCCCTCCAGGGGTAAGAGACCTGCAACCTGCCCCACTTCAATGGTTTACATTTCTTTCTGCCTGACAGGGCGGTCTTTGGTTGAGGGACCAAGTCCTCCCAATTCTCGGTCTCATCCTCCTCTTTGGGTTCTATTTTCACAAATTTGTCTTGTTTTACATCCTCATCATCCTCATCCTCCTCCTTTGCCGACAGGAAAGCGTGCTCCATCTATCAGCGTTTAATGGGATGGCATCCCAACGCAGTCAATCTTTCACCCTGAGCCAAATTTAGTGGAAGCAAACATCGTTCAATATACATTGCTGATGCAAATTACAGTTGCTCACGTTGCAAAGATATTGCATAAATAAATTGTCGAAACTTAGTCTAAACATTGCAAATATCCTTAAAACATCAAAGTTGTTCCCAACAACCCCGAATAAGGGAGGAAAACTGGCAAACTACGTAGATAAAGATCTAAAAAAAAACATGTCCCCTCCTTGTGAGATATCACCTACGATAGGTTGGAGCCTGCATGACTCTGGACTCAACCATAAATCTGACTCACTCCAAACTAGGATTCTTCAAAAATCGCCACCATAGCATGCCGACAGCTGTGCCACCAAAAGGCTTGGCCAAGTACTCTGCAAGACATGCCGCTGCGCCACCAGCTGATATGGCTGGAACCTGCAAGGTACAAAGATCTGCCAAGGGGCCAGGTGCACATATCTTCTCACGGCAGGAGATCCACCATTAGAAAACCCTTGATGTTAGCTGTTGGATGCATCAACCATCTGTACCTTCTGTTTGCCTTGTCATCCTTGGTCCTCTTGTCCACTCCCTGCAAAAATGAACATAATAGGGGCTGAGCCCTGTAGACCTCAGCATATACAGTATGTTTATCTTATCTCCTTCCTCAAAACAGCACAAAACCATCGAAGTCCAAACGATTTGAGGAAATAGATACCGTAATTTATCATAAGATAAGGATACAGTATAGATGTTTTGATGTATAGATGTATAGATGTATGGATGTACAGATAGATAGATGTATGGATGTACAGATAGATAGATGTGCAGATAGATAGATAGATAGATAGATAGAGAGAGAGATAGATAGATAGATAGGTAGATAGATAGATAGATAGATAGGTAGGTAGATAGATAGGTAGATAGATAGGTAGATGGATGGATGGATGGATCGATAGATAGATAGATAAGATAAGATAAGATTAGATTAGATTAGATTAGATTAGATTAGATAGATAGATGGATGGATGGATGGATAGATTATTGATAGGTAGATAGGTAGATAGGTAGACAGATAGACAGATAAGATAGATAGATGGATGGATGGATAGTTGGATGGATGGATGGATGGATGGATAGATAGATAGATAGGCGGATAGATAGATAGATAGGTGGATAGATAGATAGATAGGTGGATAGATAGATAGATAGGGTAGGATAGGATAGGATATAAGATAAGATTAGATTATATAGAATAGAATAAGAATAAGAATAAGAATAAGACTAAGAAAAAGAATAAGATTGGAATAGAATAGAATAGAATAGATATATATATATATTATATATATAGCATTATATGAATTATATGTGTATAAAAAATATGATATATGTATTATAATTGGGTCTACAGCACTACCCCCACCTCAAGGAGGCACACGTGGCGAACACTCCACAGGCTGATGTCCACCGCATCCTGCGGCAGACTATTCTCCAGCCATTTTCCACCAGTTCACAGAGTTTGCCCAAAAAAACCATAGGAAAATGGTGGTTTAATGGGATTTAATGGGATTTAATGGGATATACCCTCTGGTAATTTAACATGGCTATGGAAAGATCCACCATTTTTGATGGGAAAATCCACTATTTCGACTGGGCCATTTTCAATAGCTATGTTAAATTACCAGAGGGTATCTGGTTGGCGGTTTTAACATGTTTTAACCATCTTGAAAAATATTAGATTAGTCCATGGGAAGGATGACATCCCATATATGAAATGGAAAATGAAAAATGTTTGAAACCACCAATTAGTTATGAAATGATGAAACAATTAACATCCAAGTTGTCCATAAAGCCTGGAATTTCTCCACCGTCCCATCTCTCCGTCAGGGGACCATTGGATGCACTCTTAGGCACCGGGAGCCGGTGGGTTTCGAAGCCGCAACACTCCTGGGGTTGTCATAAAATCTTCAAAAACAGCTTGAAAGTGGAGCCTCAATGGCTTCTGGCAGGGGTCAAATCACCCAAAAGGATTGAAAGGATCAACAAAAACTCGACTTCTAAGGGGTTTCACCTTCGCACTTCTTTCCAGCCATGGTGACAGCCATGGCCCCACATCTCCCCCCCCCAGCCCTGTCCAGAGCTTGGAAAAAATCCTCGGTGGCCTGCGAAAAGCATGAGCTTTTGACTGTCACTCAGCTGTCTAGATCATAGATTTCTGAATCAGTTAGATAATAAAAGTACGTGATATTACGTGATGCAGTGATGCACCATTCCATAGCAAGCATGGTTGGTCTTTGGTTTGCTTATATCCCTAGACATCCCTAGACATCCCTAGACTATCCTAGACTCACCTCTAAATCACGCTCTCGCTCCGCCAGCAGGAAGGTATCAAAGCGCAAACGTGACAGCAAACGAAGCAAAGGGTTTTGCAGCCTCAGATTGCCAGGCTTCCAATTAAATACGTTGGTCTTTGGCCAATCTGAAGGCACAAGTCTCAGACAAAGGCAAATAGGTTTGAAATGGTTTGAACAGTTTTGGACAGTGTGTGCCCGAAGTGCGTATATTATTTCTCTGTGCTGTACTTTTTAGAAACATATTCCAAGCTGGCTGGCTGCCAATACAAACATTACAAACCAATGTGGTACGCAATGTATATGTTTTTTTCACCACCATCAACTCCTGTTGCTGGGGCTTATTAAATGCTATTAAGTAAGCCCATATTGCTGGGGGGTTTACCATTGGGGTAGCCTCAAACTCCCATGACGGCGTTTTCAGGCAACATCTGCTCCAGGCCCCGGGTCAAGGCAAACTCACGGGCAGCAGACCAGCCCAAATCACCACCCAGCAGGACATCCCACTGCCTGCAGGCGACGCTCTTCATCTGTTCATCACAAAGGAATACTACGTAATCATTGATGGTTGATGAACAGAGCATTGATGGTTCACAGTCTCAAAGTCACAGAGCATTGATGGTTCAAAGATGTTCACTCCAGTCATCCTTCATCATTCAAGCTGCAGCCAGCGCATATTCAGCCACAACAGACTATAACCAGCCATAGCCCACGCTACCCAAAATGGGCCCAAGACATCCTAAGCATGGCTGGCGCACCTGTCCATGACCCACTCTGGTGGTGACCTCCAGTCTATCACCTGAAATTGTGTGACATCTCAGCATGACACCGGTTGCCAAATTCGAAGCTGAGCTAAGGGTATAATATGGGAATCATAAGGGATAATCGGATAATATGGGGATGCGGGGATAATACATGGTATGCAGTCTGCCCTTCATTCCACATTGGGTCTCTGCTCCCTTCTTTTGCCTTGATTCTTGGCCCGTGCAAACATACTGTCAGCTATCTTTTCCATGCGAAAACACCAACTTCAAGAAACAAGTCAAGCCGCTGCAAACAGTACCATAGTCAGAAATAGCTGGAGGGGATCCCAACATATCCCAACTGTTGGGCTTACACGGGCTTATTACATGTTACATGCAGTTACAAGAGTATTATGAGATGTTATAAGTTGTAACCCCAACTACGCCCACGTCTGCCTACCGCCGACCTCTGCCTTCCAACGGCAGCCGCTGGCCGACTCCAAGAGCTCGGCGTTTGCGGCGCCACTGGCATGGGCTGCAGCCTTGGTAGAAAAAGTGGTCGGGGATGCTGCGTTCAAATAAAATGCTCAGATTATGGTCAGATTCACCAATAATGATAATATAAATTGTAAATTGGTAATATATTATGATAATTTTGTCGATATGCGTTCAAGTATGTTCGAAACTCTAAATTGGGATAAATTGGGTTTCAAGCACAAGTTCTATGCAAACTAGACATAAGCAGCCCTAAAGAGAATCTATCTGGAGAGTCATGTTTGCTCAGCCAGGGTACAATGGTATTGTCGGCATCGGTGGACACACAATCATGGCCTCTGAGTGGCTACAACAGCAAATCATCGGCTCTTAAGGTGAGAAAATCGACAGCTAAGGGAATCTCGCAAAAACATCTGGCGGCGCTCAGCTTGCCTAGAAGGGCTGCCACAAGACCGGCAAGTGATAGTCCAGCGCCCAACTCCAAGACTGTCAAGGGCCTGGAGAGCTTTCTCTCATCTCGCAGCAAGATCTTAAACCCTTTTCTGATCTTTACGCAAGATGCATTCTATGAATTTCTATGATCTCATCTTGCTGATTCTTTGTAGAGCCCTATGATATCCATCTCCTGTACATCGATGGCACCTTGATGTATCCAAGAGCTGCGGAAGGGCAGCCGCCAGGACCAAGCCTGGATCCCAAATATCAACGCCTGGCACCGGCTGAGACCAAGTTGCCCAGTGACAGGTTCGGAATGAGCTGATTTCAGCATAGTTCAGCAATCTTTGGGGAAAGTTGTTTTTACCACTATCTCAACAATTCTTCTCAATCACTGTTCTTACCAAGGCAGAGTTTTGTGGAGGAAGCGTAAGTTGTTGCAGTTTTTGGCCACCCAGGCCATGGCAAGGCCGGCCATGGCCGGCCTGTGGATGCCCAGCAGTTGGGGTCGTGAAACTCGATGTCATCCACTTCTGGAGGAGGGACTGCCATCGGCAAGATGAACTGAGGATTCCTCAATGGGAACATTCCATTGAATAGCACCCCCTGTGCCACAGGCATGCGATGTGTGTTCCAGACATGACCATGCAATACATATAATTAATATTAATTAATATAAGTTAATATACGTACAGGTATATATACATGTGTATATATATATATGAATAGATTCCATATTGTGTACACTTGTGATTGCAACCATGTTCAGTGCATTTGCTGTATGTTCTGCACTTTGGCGCTGTGCAACCTCTGCAAGACGGTCACCTCAAACCAAGTAGCGGTTTGCTGAAGCAAAACTCCAGCGAACTAGCCTTGGTTTGGGCCCCGAGTGATTGGATGTTTGCCTTCACCAAACGTACTGGAAACAAGGAGTCGAGAAATGTGAGATGCACGTGACATGGTTTTAAGATGTGTTAAGCAACATTCCAAACAGGATATTCCATATTTGTGCCGCTCAGTGCAGTCTTAATAGCTTCCCGCAGCTTGTGAGGCAGTGGGAACAGAAGGCCATACCTGCAACCGCTGTCAGGGATCAATTTGGTTCAGGAATTGGATGTACGGTCAGTACAGCAATAGGTCAAGGCCTAGGACTTTGCAATGTTGTCTAATTCTTTTCGTTTTGAGATGTAAAATACTGATGTTTTGTAAATTCACTGATGTTTTACTCATGTTTTACGACTTCGTCTTTGTCGTATCATGATGGGTTCCCTTCGCTTCCAGGCCTGGTCGCCTCAAGGCGAGCGAAAGCGCTCAGCACTTGGGCTTTGCCCAGAGACTCGGCTATCAACACCTCTGCCCTGCGTCTCTGGTGAAGGACATCATGGACATCTACAGTTGGGGTACACATGAATCATCATTATCATGTTAATTATTGTTTTAATGTTTAATCATAAATATCAAAATAACTACTATTCATTTTTGTATAAGTTTCTTGCAAGACATTCAACTAGACGACGGATGGCCCGAGAGCGTAGAGGAGCAGAGTCTTCTGTTGTTAGTATGGAGACACGCTTTTTACACACAGGCTCTTTTACACACAGACGTTTTTACACACAGACGCTTTTTACACACAGACGCTTTTTACACGCAGGCGCTTTTACACACAGAAGCTTTTACACACAGACGTTTTTACACACAGACCCTTTTACACACAGACGCTTTTACACACAGACGCTTTTACACACAGACGCTTTTTACACACAGGCTCTTTTACACACAGAGACTTTTACACACAGAGGCTTTTACCCACAGAGACTTTTACACACAGACGCTTTTACACACAGAGACTTTTACACACAGACGCTTTTACACACACGCTTTTACACACAGACGCTTTTACACACAGACGCTTTTACACACAGACGCTTTTACACACAGAGGCTTTTACACACAGACGCTTTTACACACAGAGACTTTTACACACACAGACGCTTTTACACACAGAGCCTTTTACACACAGACGCATTTACACACAGACGCTTTTACACACAGACGCTTTTACACACAGACGCTTTTACACACAGACGCTTTTTACACACAGAAGCTTTTACACACAGACGCTTTTACACACAAACACTTTTACACACAAACACTATTACACACAGACGCTTTTTACACACGACGCTTTTTACACACAGACGCTTTGACACACCACACACATTTACACAACAGACCCTTTTACACACAGACGTTTTTTTTTTAAACACAGAACGCATTTTACACACAGACGCTTTACACAGGAACATTTTACAACACAGAAGCTTTTACACGCAAACACTTTAACACACAGACACTTTTATACACAGACACTTTTCCACACAGAAGCTTTTACACACATACGCTTTTACACACAGACGCTTTTACACACAGACCCTTTTACACACAGACGCTTTTACACACAAACACTTTTACACAAACACTTTTACACACAGACGCTTTTACACACAGACGCTTTTACACACAGACGCTTTTTACACACAGACGCTTTTTACACACAGACGCTTTGACACACAAACACATTTACACACAGACCCTTTTACACACAGAGGCTTTTACACACAGAAGCTTTTACACACAGACGCTTTTACACACAGAGACTTTTACACACACAGACGCTTTTACACACAGAGACTTTTACACACAGAAGCTTTTACACACAGACGCTTTCTACACACAGGGGCTTTTACACACAGACGCTTTTACACACAGAGACTTTTACACACACAGACGCTTTTACACACAGAGATTTTTACACACAGAAGCTTTTACACACAAACACTTTTACACACAAACACTTTTACACACAGACGCTTTTACACACAGTCGCTTTTACATACAGACACTTTTACACACAGCCGCTTTGACACACAGACACTTTTACACACAGACGCTTTTACACACAGACGCTTTTACACACAGACCATTTTACACACAGACACTTTTACACACAGAAGCTTTTAAACACAGAAGCTTTTACACACAGAAGCTTTTACACACAGACGCTTTTGCACACAGACGCTTTTACACACAGACGCTTTTACACACAGACTCCTTTACACACAGACGCTTTTACACAGAAGCTTTTACACACAGAAGCTTTTACACACAAACACTTTTACACACAGACGCTTTTACACACAGACGCTTTTACACACAGACGCTTTTACACACAGACGCTTTTTACACACAGGCGCTTTTACACACAGACAAGTCCGGCACAAGTAAAATCGCAATTTTACCTCAGTTTTTGACGATCGACCCTCATTTCGTGCGAAAGGGTTGCTCCGGGACAAGTAAAATCGCAATTTTACCGCAGTTTTTGACGATCGACCCTCATTTCGTGCGAAAGGGTTGCTCCGGGACAAGTAAAATCGCAATTTTACCGCAGTTTTTGACGATCTACCCTCATTTCGTGCGAAAGGGTTGCTCCGGGACAAGTAAAATCGCATTTTTTTTCAGTTTTTGACGATCGACCCTCATTTCGTGCGAAAGGGTTGCTCCAGGACAAGTAAAATCGCAATTTTACCGCAGTTTTTGACGATCGACCCTCATTTCGTGCGAAAGGGTTGCTCCAGCACAAGTAAAATCGCAATTTTTCCTCAGTTTTTGACGATCGACCCTCATTTCGTGCGAAAAGATTGCTCCAGGACAAGTAAAATCGCAATTTTTCCCCAGTTTTTGACGATCGACCCTCATTTCGTGGGAAAGGGTTGCGTTTCGTGCCGTCTCGTTGGCACTGCCCCTGCTCCCGCTTTCAAAAGAGAAATAGAAAAGAAGGAGAGGGCAAGAGGGCAAGAGGGCAAGAGGGCAAGAGGAGAAGATGTGAGATGAGAAGATGAGAAGATGTGAGAAGATGTGAGAAGATGTGAGAAGATGTGAGAAGATGTGAGAAGATGTGAGAAGATGTGAGTGGAGGTGTGAGAAGATGTGAGAAGATGTGAGAAGATGTGAGAAGATGTGAGAAGATGTGAGAAGATGCGAGAAGATGTGAGAAGATGTGAGAAGATGTGAGAAGATGTGAGAAGATGTGAGGAGATGTGAGGAGATGTGAGAAGATGTGAGAAGATGAGAAGATGAGAAGATGTGAGAAGATGAGAAGATGTGAAGATGAGAAGATGTGAAGATGAGAAGGTGTGAAGATGAGAAGATGAGGAGATGAGAAGATGTGAAGATGAGAAGATGAGGAGAAGATGTGAGGATGAGAAGATGTGAAGATGAGAAGATGTGAAGATGAGAAGATGTGAAGATGAGAAGGCGTGAAGATGAGAAGATGTGAAGATGAGAAGATGTGAAGATGAGAAGATGTGAAGATGAGAAGATGAGGGATGAGGAGAAGATGTGAAGATGAGAAGATGTGAAGATGAGAAGATGTGAAGATGAGAAGATGTTTTACAGACCCCCACTATTGGAAGAACCCTGCGCTCAGACGCTCTCGGGAAAAACTGCTGGCCAAAATTAAAGGACCGGATAACCCCACAAGGCAATTTCTTCCAATAATGAGCACCAAATGTTGTAGCGGGGACGGGGAAAGAAGGAACGACAAAGGAGGTGATGAAGGATCGAGAAGTAAAACAAAGTTGTATGTGACAAAGTTGCATGTGAAATATGTTGTGTGACAAAGAAAGATGGTGTGTGTGTGTGACAAAGTTGTGTGTGAAAGATGGTGTGTGTGTGTGAAAGTTGTGTGTGAAAGAGAGAGTGTGACAAAGCTGCGTGTGAAAGATGGTGTGTGACCCTGTGGTGTGTGAAAGATGGTGTGGCGAAAGATGGTGTGTGTGACAAAGTTGTGTGTGAAAAATGGTGAGTGAAAGATGGTGTGTGACAAAGTGGTGTGTCAAAGATGGTATGTCAAAGATGGTGTGTGAAAGATATTGAAAGATGGTGTGTGAAAAACTGGTGTGTGAAAGATGGTGTGTGACGAAGTGGTGTGAAGGATTGTGTGTCAAAGATGGTGGGTGACAAAGTGGTGTGTGAAAGATGGTGTGTGACAAAGTTGTGTGTGAAAGATGGTGTGTGACAAAGTGGTGTGTGAAAGATGATGTGTCAAAGATGGTGTGAAAGATGGTGTGTGTGTGTGTGTGACAAAGTGGTGTGTGAAATATGGTGTGTGTGACAAAGTGGCGTGAAAGATGGTGTGTCAAAGATGGTGGGTGACAAAGTGGTGTGTGAAAGATGGTGTGTGACAAAGTTGTGTGTGAAAGATGGTGTGTGACAAAGTGGTGTGTGACAAAGATGGTGTGTGTGTGTATGTGTGAAAGATGGTGTATGACAAAGTTGGTGTGTGAAAGATGGTGTGTGACAAAGTTGGTGTGTGAAAGATGGTGTGTGTGACAAAGATGGTGTGTTAAAGATGGTGTGCGACGAAGATGGTGTGTGAAAGATGGGTGACAAAGATGGTGTGTGAAAGATGGTGGTTGACAAGGATGGTATGTGAAAGATGGTGGTTGACAAGGATGTGTGTGAAAGATGGTGAGAGATGTGTGAAAGATGGTGTGTGAAAGATGGTGTGACAAAGATGGTGTGTGAAAGATGGTGTGCGACAAAGATGGTGTGTGAAAGAGGATGTGTCAAAGATGGTGTGTGACAAAGTGCTGTGTCAAAGATGGTGTGTGACAAAGTTGTCAGATGGTGTGTCAAAGATGGTGGGTGACAAAGTGGTCTGTCAAAGATGGTGTGTGACAAAGTTGTGTGTGAAAGATGTTGTGTCAAATATGGTGGCTCCAAGCGCGCCGCCAGAGCCAGCCCAATGCCATAGGCGCCACGCCTGCCACGCAAAACGAAGGTGGATGTCACCAAGTGCCACGCGTGCCACACGAAACGAAGGTCCATGTCAAGCCACACGCCTGCCACGCAAAGTACAGCGGCGTCACCGGCGACCAAGCGCGCCCAAGCGCGCCCAAGCGCGCCA